TCGGTTTGAAGGGTGGGGCAGCCGTTGTAACTATATTGAGACCTTAGAACTTATATCTCAAGGTGGGTGGCGCATTTACGTTGTAGATGCCTATGGGCTCCGATAACCACTGAACACCAGGTAGGCTGTGAACTCGTCCAACCACCTAAACAATAAAAAAAAATCGTTGGAGAAAATTCGGACATGAAACATTACTGAATTTTCTTATTTTATCACGAGTAGTAGATAAAATTAAAACTAGTTTTACTGCTTTGAATTTCGCGTTTCTTTATTGAGATTAAACCAACAAAGCAGGTTTGATTAAGGGAAACAATGCCCATTATTTGTCATGCTGTAGTACTTATCTATAACAAAATAAAATTCGAATTCAATTAACTCCAAAGCTGAAGACACGTTTGTATTTGAAAATAAATAATATATATTTATTTTAGTTAAAATTAGCATCGTCACCAATTAATTTATACTCTTGCTCCTCTAGTATTATCAATTACTCTGATGTGGCATAGTGTTTAAGCACTTTATATTAGATAACGCTATAATAATAACAAAACACGGTTGTACACTTGAATTCCGTTTTAATAAACAAGAATATAAAGAAACGAAACTTTTAACAATTCCATCATGAACATATTCGAGTCTTAACTTTTTTTTTATTACTTGGTTGGGTGGACGAGCGATTACCGGAGCCCATAGTCATCTACAACATAAAGGCAAGACACCCACCATAAGTTCTAAGTTTAAGTTTTTTTACAATACAACAGCTGCTCCAGCCTTCAAACCGAAACGCTTTACTGCTTCACAGCAGATAAAGGCAGGGTGGTGGTAGTCCCCCGTGCGGACTCACAAAACGTCCTACCACCAGTAATTTAACTTTATAGGGACATCTATTTTAATAAATACGTACATTTGTGGCGGTAGCCATCATAGAATACAACAAGATATTTGACAAATGCCTGAATCCCGCTTACGACATTTTCATAGTTTGTATATATATGTAAGTTCAGAACAAGACATAATAAAATTAGAACATTAATTACATTAGATCCGTCGGTCTATCCAGAAAGTACACCGGCTATTATTTTTTTTCCTACATATACTGATAGCCTTGAGAGGCTATTTCAGCTTCGCCCTAACGTGTATGTAAGCTCACGGCTCTCAAACCGGAGTGTTGCTAACACTGACCCTAGCAAGAGCAGGGCTTCGTAGAATCTACTACTGGATCGGAAACGCGACCCACTGAGAAGATCCGGCGAGAAACTGAGTGAGCTGTGTCTGTGGGTTAATTCGCTCGTCGAGCCCTTCTTCGCAAGCGACGGGTTCGACGAGCACGGTGACCGGAACACCGGCTAGGTAGAAGATCTCCCCTTTGCGTTACTCTCCAAACATTTAACAGAATAATTATAAATATAACTAAATTGTTAATTTATTTTTTATGAAACTCTGAATTGTTTAATCTGTGGCGGCTAGTCTAGGTTATAAACATCACTATTTAACGAGTTCTTACCACGAGTTTCACGATTTAATAAGTTCCCCATATTTGGGTTTCGTTCCAAGCGCCATCTTCACGGATAGACTACCCACCCATGCGCCTATTCATTAAATGTGTAAATCGTGATAAAAACTGATGTAAGTTGTAAATAATATTTAGAAATAATGAAATTGATGTGTGTGAAATTTCAAATGGTAATCTGTAATTAACAAAATGTGTTGAGTAGGTTACGGGGATATCGAAAATCAACGATAAATTATTAATTTTTGCATGTAAAGATTTTTTGCATCACTTTATTAGAAGAATGTTATCAAGAAAATCATTAATACGATTGACGTCGACTATCCTACTTAATTTTATCGTGAAATTGGTACATATGTCAATGACCTCGCGTTTATTACAATCACGAACAGATATATTGACATCGAGCGGCCAAATATGTTCTAGAATCAAATAAGTCGATTTCAAATGTTTCTCGTATTTTTAAAAGATTTTTATATCTTATCGTATTTTTATCACCTAACAGATAAAACTGAATGCCTGTGGTTTGTTTGTTTTTGTGATCGTAATCAATGGCAAATGTGGCTTAACCGATTGATTTGGACCTCCCCACAGCTGTTCTTAGTAAGTCGGGAAAGGTTCTGTTTTAGTACCATCAACACTAATAAATGTGTCTCGCACGTTAGTTCCTGACAGTTAGGTTAAACACCAAAAGACGCAGTAAGTGGCCAGTTCTTCTACCTACAATCTACTTACAGCGAAGTGTTCTGTAAAAAATAATGCCCAATATAATATTATTTTTAGTGTCCACCTTAGAACTTATTAAAATAACCCAATTATATTATACCAATTAAATTATATACAGTACTTGATGAAGAATATCGTATAACTTTTATGGCAGATCTCTTGCCTTATCCTCCTAGGTAGGGTTGCCACAACATGCATCCACAAAGTTAAATTTCACTTAAATTTCCCGATCCCTTTCCCAGCGAAAACACTCCTCAAATATAGAACGTCAGATATTTAAAAAAAAAACTGGTTAGTCATTAAGTAAATAAAATAATAATAATAAATATTTTACTAACGATCACGCCACGTTAACTAGTCCCGTGATAAGTTCGTAAAGAACTTGTGTTACAGGTACCAGATAACGGAAATAAATGTAAGATTTTTATTATACACATACATATATTTAATATACATCCATAACCCTGGAAAAGACATTTATATTTATCATACAAATATCTTCCCTTGGCGGGATTCGAACCCGCGACCCCCTTTTGTAGTGACCATGTCACTTACCACTACACCAGAGGCCATTAGGCAACAACTAGGGATAATCTAGAGATTGTAATCTGTAATTAGTAGTTTACCAGAGTTTTCTACCATAAATCGAACAGGAATTAACAAAGCTTGTTTTAAACATAGGAATACTGTAACGTCTTCTGCACAGCCTTGAGTTCCGATGTTTATTCAACAAGCATGCGGTCGCTTTGCTGTCATAACCAAATTAATTTACAATTCAAAATACAGACGAGAACTAATTTTATGTTCCGCAAAAGAGGTCTATATGTGTAAACTTGAAACGTTTCGTTATCTTATTCATTTTAGAATATATTATGTTGCGATGTGCAATATTACGTAGAATTAATTTAAAAATTATTGCGGTGAAACTTTTTTTTTATATTGTGTGTTATCTCCAACCAGTCAAAGCAGTATACATTTCTTCGTAACTGTCTAGAATGAATTTCAATGGTCTTATACCTAGAGCCAACAATTTATAATGACCCAAAAAAAGCCCAATGGTTGAAGTGTTGGGCAATTGTGTTTTCCCATCCCCTAAAGTCCAAGTATGAATTCCCACCTACCATGTACCCGCGTATAATGACGATTTCACCTTTGAAAATTTACAAAGAAATCCATTTAGCCTCGTACGAAATATCAGTATATCAGTAGGTCCTTTAAAGTAAACCGATTCGTCCTTTTAAAGTATGACTGTTTTATCAAACTTGAAAAGTGATATGAACACGCAATGTATGCTTTTGTGCGTGTGTTATATTGTTTCCATGTCTTGTTCTGAGCAGACAGTATGAGTATGTAATCGACAACTCAATAAACAGAACATAAATTAATATTTGAACATCCCCTCCCGTTTCTACTACGAAAGTTTCAGGGATTATTCATTTTATTCAGTAATGATTTAAAATTAAATTTTTTAGCTAGTTGCATGTATATGATTGGCCATTAATCGCCAACTATAGGTTTTTACTAACGTGTCTATCCCCTGTCTTGCATAGCCCTTTTGCATGGCCTCGACATTGCGAATCATTGCTCGCTTATATGACGAAGCACAGGAAAATGCAAATGTGCATAATTTCATGATGACACGTGGATAGTTCCACAAGAAGTTGTCTACATTGGCAGTTGACATTGGTTATTCGAACACGAACAATTAATAGACTCTTACACTCGCCTTGGATCATTTTGCCTCTGTTTGTTTTTACTTCGGCTTGGCCAATATCTAGTTTCGTTGGCGCCAATTAGGCCGCGAGACTGCCAACAAATTATACAACAAACACTATGATAATCGCTCACAATATAAAGTATAGACAGAAGAAACACTGTATAAAATATTGAAAAGATTGTCTAATGACTATGAAGACGATTTAATTAAGTCATTATCCAATGGAAAGAAAGAACCGGACCAAGAGTCCATTAATAAACCATTAACGTTAAGTCAATTTGATATTAGCGTGAAGTGCGTTCAATATTTAAAAAATATATCGGAATAGTTGGCACGAGTTGTATATACTAACGAACTTCGAGCCAGACATTCAATTTCGTGAGGTGGGATATAAAATTGTTGTTAATATCAAACATTAATACGAATGAAAGTGTGCTAAATGGAGCAAAACCGGCCAGATCGTCCGACCGTAACCTAGGATTCCCTTTACTTTGGGAACAAGATATAAATAAATGCGTATATAAGTTTAAATATATTCATATATAGATAATAGCTATCCAGACGAAGAGTAACTTGTTTATCACACGAATGTTTTCGCGATGTCGCAATCGAAAACAACCCTCATCGCAAGAGTCCGGGGCGCGAACTACCGCACGCTAAATACCGCACCAATTTTCAATTGCTCAATTGCTTTCAATATGTTTTTGATTACATAGTTAAATCGTATTTGGGCACTCCAGATAGTTCTGGAAGCTTCATAATATGTTTCAATATCAAACAAGTATGTTCATTATTGTTAATGTTATGTGCGTATCTGTTATCATAATCGTTTGCGGCCATCAGACGGGGTTATTGCTTACGGATGTTGTTACAGCTATTCCTTATCAGACTTTAGTGCAACAATTGAAGGAGCTCCAGGTCACGCGCACTTGTTAACGAAATTGGATAATAAAATTAACATCCTTGCTTACTGTACCTCAAACAATTCAAACTGAAACTATTTGTATTTTGTTTCGTCGGTAATGTTATTGTATTTTTGTTTGACAGTCCGGAAAATATGGCGAAGGATTCGTTGGGTCATCGAGTGGGGTCGGCGTGCACATCAGAGCCAAGGGCCCGGGCGGGGAAAGGGACCACACCGGCTGCTCGTGGCCCCTGCTGTCAACCACCGCGCCCAATGAACCTTTACCTCAAGAGCCCTGGATAGCTCTCATAAGACGAGGCAGCTGCAATTTTGAACTAAAGGTAACTCTTCACCAGCAAATTTTATATGAAATAAATCCTCCAAAGCTACTCACTGGTGGTAGGGCGTCTGCGTTTGCGTGTCTGCACGGGTAGGTACCACCACCCCGCCTATTTCTGCCGTGAAGCAGTAATGCGTTTCGGTTTGAAGGGTGGGGCAGCCGTATCTATACTGAGACCTTTAGAACTTATATCTCAAATTGAGTGGCGAAATTTACGTTGTAGATGTCTATGGGCTGCAGTAACCATTTAACACCAGGTAGGCTGTGACTCGTCCACCCATCTAAGCAATAAAAAAAAATTGTAACGTCAATCATACTAATTGTTCCCTTATCTTTAAAGTTATGTTACACACAAAATATGTACCGCATTATAATTAATAAATCGGTAGTTTTCTATCAAGATATAGTCGTCAATTCTAAATAATATAGTATTCGTTGGTGTACAAATAATATAATCTATATTAAAACATCCTAATAAATAGTGGACTATTAACCCGACGAAATGAGTGTACCTACAGATATCAGACGCGGAGTGAACACATCGGCCTTATCTTTATTGTTCACGTATTATCGACTTTTATGTCCACGTTTTTTCGTTTACATTATACCGGCCGGCACTCATTTGAAATACCACAACAGTACAACAAACTGCTCATTAATAAAAATTCTTCTTCTTCTTTTTCTCCACCTTATCCCACTAGGTGGGGTCGGCACAGTTAATTTTTCTCTTCCATTCTCTTCTATCAGCCGTCCTCTCAACACTCACTCCTCTCTTTCTCTCATATCGTCATTCACACACTCAATCTATGTCTTCTTCGATCGACCTCTTCCTCCTCTACCTTGCACTACCATTTCAATACATCTTCCATACATAAAAAAATAAAATATTATTCGTACATAATACCTGCTTGACGTTTCTTTTAATGGGCACGGGCGACGCCCATATCTAGATATAAATGTGTGTAAAATTATCGTTCATAAATCGTCACGAGTGAAATAAATTTTCACCTACCCTCTTGAGGTTATATCGTTGCTTTTGCGGATCAAGATCGTTCGTATATTAATCTGAAAATGACTTTGTTTTAGTAGAACAACGTTCTATTTTCTAACAGTCACATCACACAAACAAAATACATAGCACATAAAATTGAACACCAATGTAAAAAGAAGACTCGACATCCGGTTTTCTTACAATACATTTTGTGCCGACAATCGCTGGATGTTACATAAAATATGTATAAAGAATGAACCTATTGCTATCTTTAAATAAATTACACCAAGAAGTCCTCTGATAATTGGCATATTAAAAGCTTTTGAATCAGCGAACAAATGACAGTTTTTTTTTCTGTGTCGTTTTAAAGGCTATTAGCTAAATGATTGCGAATACTTAGAAGGATTTTGTTTATATTCTATTCTTTATTAAATCTTAGACGTCTTTTGCGATATCTCGATCAATGTTTGAATTAGTTTTTAATAATCTCTAAATATTTACCTTAACATTGCATACATTTGATTTGTAATGTAGACGAATTGTGGTAGGATACAGTAACATAAAATAAAAGACGTACCTAACAGAATTTTTTGTCATAATTATTTATATTTTTCGTTCACATGACGAACGCAAAAACATTGTTCTGAATTTTTCTACAATGACGTTCTCTGATATCGAAGATTGATTATTCGATAGCAAACAGAAAACAAAAAATATACTGATAATAATTTGCATAAATTACTTGTAGATAAATAATTCGGAATTTGGGTTAAAAAAATCAATTATAGACATAGGACAAAGGTGTTTTTATTATATTTTATCAATCGTACAGTCTAAAAATAAATTATGTCGTCATAATATTATTTATCTACATTATTTATTGTTCGTTCGTCATAAAGTTACGGTGTTTTGTGATTAAAGTATCATTATGTATAACGTATAATACGTATGCTTATCTATAAGAACTTTTTACTATATTAAAAAATTCAAGACCATTTTTTACCCATACAAATTATAATAAAGCATAGTAGAGGAAACAAGAAAACAAACAAATAAGTAAAATAGATATTTTTTTTGTTAAGTGTGACAACGAAAGGCCTTTGAAAATTTTCAGCTCAACTCTATTTTTTACAATTTGGTCCTCCTAGCCCTTGTAAACATCATAAGACTTTCATCATTTACAAAAGTCGTCGTGGCCTAAAGGATAAGACGTTCGGTGCATTCGTATCTAGCAATGCAACGATGTTCGAATCCCGCAGGCGGGTTCCAATTTTTCTAATGAAATACGTACTTAAACAAATGTTCACGTTTGACTTCCACGGTGAAGGAATAGCATCGTGTAATAAAAATCAAACCCACAAAATTATAATTTGCGTAATCACTGGTGGTAGGACCTCTTGTGAGTCCGCACGGGTAGGTACCACCACCCCGCCTATTTCTATCGTGAAGCAGTAATGCGTTTCGGTTTCAAGGGTGAGGCAGCCGTTGTAACTATACTGAGACCTTAGAATTTATATCTCAAGGTGGGTGGCGCATTTACGTTGTAGATGTCTATGGGCTCCAGTAACCACTTAATAACCAGGTGGGCTGTGAGCTCGTCCACCCATCTAAGCATTAAATAAAAAAAGACTAGATGACTTTCAGAAAAGTCTTTAGCTTAGGGAAGCGGATACCTGTATATATTTCATGTATCGCGAGATTTATTATAAAAATCTTTAGACGCTGAGTATAGGTAATCAAACTATTAAAACAAATCAGACCACATGCGTTAACTAAAATATGAAATATACATTATTTCGTTTTATTGAAATTCGAGTATTTTCCATCTCGTTATTTTATTTCAATTCTATTTTATTTACGAAACTTAACGTGTAAATATTTTTAAGAGCTCTAGTTTAGTGCATCCATTTACCATTAAGAACTAATCATTAGCGAGATAAATAAAATAAAAAGTCTTGAGCATTAAAAATGAAGAAAAAAAAAACGATGACATTTAAAAAATACAAGTCGTAAACGGAATTCATCTAGAATCTATAATAAATTATGATCAAAGATTGTTATAAAGCTCTCAACATTTACCACAGCCTTTATAACCTTAGGAATTCAAGCAAGAATTAATTATTAAATACGTTCCGTATAAATTTATAAATTCACTGATTTCTTTTTATCATTAGTATATTTTTTTATATTTGGGTCATGCTGAAGATTATTTCACAACAAAAGCTTTTTAAGTTTTTATTTGAAACAAGCTGACCCGGCATACTTCTTAGTGCCCTAATCGATAAATAAAAGACCACAAACTTGTGTATAAAATAAACGTAAAACAAACAAAAGGAATCCGTCCGACGGGGACACATCAAAGGGAAAACAAAATTGTTATTTTTATTTAATTCCGATCTTTTTCGTATTTATCTAACCTTTTAAAGCTTCTCTGGACTTCCACAAATAATTCAAGACCAAAATTAGCCAAATCGGTCCAGCCGTTCTCGAGTTTTAGCGAGACTAACGAACAGCAATTCATTTTTATATGTATAGATTACTTCTAAGTTAAATCGTTTTTCTCTACTCATGTTTTGACCTTTTGTATTGGTGTTAAATTTATTTAGCGGTTGTTATCTTTTTTCAGTACAAGTGCTTAGTTGAATTCATACAATGCTGTCGAAATATGCCTTTTGATCCAAAATACGTATACAAAAAACATGGTAGAAATATTATTGAAATTTTATTTTGTTTATTTTTATTTTTCCTACATTTATTACTACTGAATATAAAAAAAAAATCTCGTAGTTTGATTATTAAGTAGGTACATCTGCTAGTTCATACATAAGCCTAGTTAATAATCTCGCCTTGAAAGTTAAACGTTTTATTCGAAACTGTAAGATTGACATAAAACAATTAGCCTTGTATTAATTCAATTCAACTGCACACAAGTACTGGATCATTGTGACCCGGATTAATAATCCAAGACTGACGTAAAAAATAGGTTATCATCATAACAGCGGGTTAAGAGCGAGATAAAAATTTAAGCTAATTTGGTGGTAAAATGGCGTCGGTTTTTTTATTGCCTTTGATCCGGTTAGGTCCTAAATTTAAATTTGGTCCTGACCCGCTTTTCTGGTTGACCTGGGATCCGTCAGACGAATCTGAATATTTCCCAACAAAAACCATCGGATACTTACAGCTCTTGCTTTAGATCGGATGTTTTTTATTGCCTTTGTAAGCCGACGAGCTTACGGCCCACCTGATGTTGAGTAGTTACCATCAGGTGGGCCGTATGCTCGTCTGCCTACAAGGGCAATAAAAAAAAAAGTCACGATATATTATTTATATATTATTTTATTTAACATGATATTTCGTCAAATGATTTTGTGTTACGTTAATTAAATGATTTCCATTCATTTATTCTTATATTTATCATTAAATAGAATTTGTAATTAACATTGAAAACTATTCATATCAGTTCACGGCGAATCGCAAAGTTGTGACATGTTTAAATTTGCTGTGTGCCGTTTGGCTATTATTATTCCATGTATGCTTGGTGAAGCGGCTTGGTTCTAGCCCTGGCATTGCTGAAGTCCATGGGCGACGGTAACCACTCACCATCAGGTGGGCCGTAAGCTCGTCTGCCTACAAGGGGCAATAAAAAAAAAGCTGGTTAACCCCTTAGGTAGGCAAATAAAAACATGTATTGTCAGCAATGTCTTCTTAAGATCATTTCTCTCCATATAAAAGTTAACTGAACATTTCCTAACCACCAAATGCCTATGTAATTCAAGTCATTTTTGAATATTCTTCTTTTTCCTAGCGTTTTCCCACTTTAACTCCTCCACTTAGCCCGGAGTATCGATGTAAGAAAAAATATGATTGTTTCAAAATTAGGTGTGGCTTGGCCAAAATAAGCATAGTTGTTTATTTACCGTTGCCGAATCTAAAGCGATCTAGACGCATATTGGTAATAATAATATTAACTCTGACTATTTTAAATAAAATTTTAGCATTTGTTGTTTTGTTTGTTGTTGCAGTATATGCAAATAGACGAACTATCTATTTTTATTTTTATTGCTTAGATGGGTGGACGAGCACACAGCCCACCTGGTTTTAAGTGGTTACTGGAGCCCATAGACGTCCACAACGTAAATGGTGATAATAATAACCCACCTTGAGATATAAGTTCTAAGGTCTCAAGTATAGTTATAACGGTTGCCCCACCCTTCAACCGCAACGCATTACTGCTTCACGGTAGAAATAGGCAGGGCGGTGGTACCCATCCGCGCGGACTCACAAGAGGTCCTACAACCAGTAATTACGCAAATTATAATTTTGCGGGTTTGATTTTTATTACACGATGTTATTCCTTCACCGTGGAAGTCAATCGTGAACAATTGTTGAGTACGTATTTCATTAGAAAAATTGGTACCCGCCTGAGATTCGATTACCGGTGCATCGCTCAACACGAATGCCCCGGACGTCTTATCCGTTAGGCCACGACGACTTCATACACGACGATATCTCATGACGGATCTGATGATAAGTATGTATTGGGATTCCATAGACATCACAACGCGTATTCCACGACGAGCCCTGATGCTGCTAGGATCGTAGTTTCAATTGTATCAATTTCGCTAAGACTAGAGAATATATCGCGTTTTCTTGCGGAGAATTATAAAGCGTATTTAATAAAGCTATTTATAAACAAAGCGCTATTTCCGTTACAGCCCGCAACGACCACGCTAAATGAATGGCATTCGAAGCGTTGCTAAGACGTAAACATTTGAAAATAGCTGACTTTGAATATTCACTAATTTTCATTTGAATTCTTAGTTATGGTTTTCATTGTCATCTCTTTTGTTACCATTTCATGAGAATTCCTGAACTGAATCATCAATGATCAATGCAATAGCTTTTCTGTCAAAAGTTTTTATACCTAGCTCTAGGAGGGGAACTTTTACGCGATCGTAAAGTTAAAAAACTCGCACTAAGCACACTGGTCTATTTATAGTTAAAAAAGATCGCTACTCAGCAATGCTAATGAGGCAACTTATATAATAGTGATAACCGGTCACCGTCCTCGTCGAACCCGTCGCTTGCGACGAAGGGCTCGACGAGCGACTTAACCCACAGACACAGCCCACTGAGTTTCTCGCCGGATCTTCTTAGTGGGTCGCGTTTCCGACCCGGTGGTAGATTCTGCGAAGCACTGCTCTTGCTAGGGTCAGTGTTAGCAATTCTCCGGTTTGAGCCCCGTGAGCTCACCTACACAAGCTAGGGTAAGCTGAAATAGCGTCTCAAGGCTATCAGCATAGGTAGGAAAAAAAATAATAGTGATAATCAAATACTATCTATTATAACGGGAACAAAAAAATCTTAACTTCTACGTATTAAAAGTGGTCATTGGAATTTTTAATGGGACTTTTGCATTTCGATTTGGCCGTGAATAAAACCGCTAATGGGCATCAACTGGATTTCTCTTTTGAAGTTTGACATTTAGGTCGTTTTTATTTTTTTATAAAGAAAATCTGTTCCATAACGTACTACTGGTATAAATTCGAAAGTTAGTAAGCATTGATGGAGGTTTGTTAACTCTTTCACGCAAAAACTATTAGACGGATTTTTATTAACCTACACATCGCACCTTTAGAATTATGGAGAACTATTTCGAAATTTCTGGATTTCGACTTTAATTCAAAAATTGACCTAGAACGACCTTTTTCAATGACTGTTAATTATCAAATGACCAAAAGTAGCTTATAAAGGGACAAACTTATCTATCGGTCTCTTTCACTCCGTCCCCCTCCTCTACGTCTTTTCGGTTTGAAAACTTTTTCGTTATTTTCCAAAAATCACATATTTTGAGTTGGGTTTCTATAATTCTTTTTTTTTTATTCCTTAGATGGGTGGACGAGCTCACAGCCCACCTGGTGTTAAGTGGTTACTGGAGCCCATAGACATCTACAATGTAAATGCGCCACCCAACTTGATACATAAGTTCTAAGGTCTCAGGTATAGTTACAACGGCTGCCTCACCCTTTAAACCCAAACGCATTACTGCTTCATGGCAGAAATAAGCAGGGTGGGTGGTACCTACCCGCGCGGACTCCCAAGAGGTCCTACCACCAGTAAAATTCTAAAGTTGCGACATTGTACTTAATAAATCAAAACAGTATATAGACAATAAAACAATACGTTCAACGCACGACACAATAATGGCGCGCGAGTAGTTTTAAGAATTGATGTTTTTTTATAGAATCTGCGTCAGTCACAGCGGAGCATCACCGGGTTTCACTGGTATATGTTTATTTCAGGTGCAGAACGCGTGGCGCGCCAACGCTACCGCAGTCCTTATATACAACGACCGCGATGCTCCAGATCTCGACAAAATGAAGCTGTCCACGGATAACGGACGTGAGTACCGTTTTCATGCTCGTCACAACAAGTTTTTTATTGATATTTTTTAGCCTACCTAACAGCCAATAGCCCAAAGCTATGGGATTATTCTGGCTTCACCTTGACGTTCAGCTTTATAGGGCAAGAGCAGTGTTTCGCTGAATCAACCACCGGATCGGAATCGCGATCCCCTGACAAACTGTAACTTTATGTAGGACTGTAATGAGTTATTCTTGAAATTTTTTGATCTGCCAGTAGCTTTTAGGGACTATTCTGGCTTCACCTTAACTCTCAGTCTTAAAGAATTTTCTAACATCTGCCCTAGCAAGAGCACTGTTTTGCTGAATCTACCACCGGATCGGAATCGCGATCCCCTGACAAATTGTAACTGTATATACAGGACTTTAATGATTTTTCTTTAAAAAAATTTATTCACTTTTGGACAAAGGTAAATGACGTACCTATGCATTATACATATATGCAGTTTGTAATTTATGAAAATTTTTCTCACTAATTTTTGGTAGCATAATATTCCTTTTTAAATTTGGAATCCTACACTCAAACTATTGTAATCATTCAGTGTTTTGTAGGACTGTAATGAATTTTTCTTTAATTTTTTTTATCTGCCAGTAGCTTTTAGGGACTATTCTGGCTTCACCTTAATTCTCAGCCTTAGATAATATTCTAACATCTGCCCTAGTAAGAGCAGTGTTTCGCTGAATCTACCACCGGATCGGAATCGCGATCCCTTGACAAATAGGACTTTAATGATCTTTCTTTAAAAAAAAAATTCACTTTTGGATTTATTATGAATTTATGAAAACTTTTCTCACAAATTTTTAAGTAGCAAAATATTTTTTTTTTAAATTTGCAATTCTACACGAAACCTATTGTATACATTCAGTGTTTTGTACAAAACACTAAACATTTTAAATTGATTATCCTTCACTTCAATATCATTGCTAAAAAACAACGTGTATAGATTACGAGTGGTGGTAGAGGTGAAACCACTAATCCATATCAACCTCTCGCCGGCTAAATCCTGTAGATAGAATAGATAATGGTATGATTGTCTCTTTTTAGTGTCATTTTTCGAGTATCAAATCGTAACGATAGCAAAGAAATTTTACATTGCCTTTTTATATTGAGAATATCAAATTCACGGATAGCATTTAAAATACAGAATACGACCTCAATTTCGTTTATCAATTCTCTTCGTCTATCTGAATTGGCCGCGGAGCTTTTAAGCACATACCTTCACGTTTCGATATTATTATGTTTGTAACTTTATTTTCTAACTAGTCTGGCTATAAATACTGTTACATAAAAACTCTTCTTTTTTTCAATTTTTTAATTATTTTGAATTTGGAACATGTATATTATTTTAAAAACTTCTTTCGATTTTGCGCCATTTCAGATATTTTTTCGTGTTCATTATCAATATGGAATGTGGTGTTAAAGAAATAGGATTGCAGTGATCACAACGGCACGGCGACATTGAGTCTCTTAAAAAATCTTTGGAGCAAGCAGTGGCGAAATTTCCCTTGGAAACAGTGGGTACATCCATAGATTAAATAAAAGCCAAAGGTAGCCATTTCGAATAGAATATATTTTTTATTTTTTGCTGAGACTAATAAATATGGTATAAATTTCAATAATATTACATTCTTCATTTTAAAAAGACATTTTTGTTTGTAATAGAACTTATGACTGGACTAGGTGTTTAACAATAAACTAACTTTCGAATTAAAATAATAATAATAATAATAATTTTTATTCAAGCCTCTTAAAATGCAAACACGTACAAGAATTCTTAACACTAGTATAATAATAATAATAATATAATAATTTTAACGGCGGTCTGGTGTAGTGGTAAGTGACATGGTCACTACACAAGGGGGTCGTGGGTTCGAATCCCGCCAAGGGAAGATATTTGTATGATAAATATAAATGTCTTTTACGAACTTATCACGGGACCAGTTAATGTGGCGTGACTGTTAGTAAAAAAATATATATATACATGGCTTTTTTATGAGGTATACAATAACAATATTCCCTGACTTTTATGCTAGGAAAACCTGTGTTACAAAAGTCAGTGGTTCAGTGCTAGGTCACCAGGTAAAGTAAGTTAACCAGGAAGAGCGATCTGTAAGAATATAGTACGTACGTGTGAGTGTGTGTGTGTTGTGTGTGCGTGTGCGTGTGTGTGTGTGTGTTTGTGTATGTGTGTCATACAATAAAGTATAATAAAGCATTACGTTATATATGTCCTATATTATATATTACACATAACATCATCATCACATCTACCACCATATAAAATACACCATGAATAATTGAATCCCATATTCTGGTGTACCTCTTTACATTTTGGATTCACTTGATCTGTTACTTTTTGTTAAATATTTATTAGATTGTTATCAGCCTTGATATTACAAGGTCCGTACATAAAACTTGAGGTCACTAACTTTTGAAATTTGAATAGGTCTATATGTATTGCTCAAAAGAATGACACAAGACAAAATTCGTTGCATTTTTATATATATGTACATGTTTTCTTTTGAATTGCAATATGAATAAAGTAGAAAAGGATTACAAGAATGTTGATGAATGGCACTTCATCGGAGGCAGGAGTTCGCTTGCGGAGAGCTTCTCTTCATTTCTTTTATCTTATACCTTTAAACGAGCAATTCTTGTATATATATATATATATATAAGCTGAATCTCGGAAACGGCTCCAACGATTTTCATAAACTATAGTATACAGGGTATTTCGGGGGCGATAAATCGATCTAGCTACGATTTATTTTCAGAAAATGTTGTTTTATTCGTGTTTTCAATAATCAACTCTTCCCGACATCTATTGGCGAATAATAATACTATTTTTCTTAATTGAAGGCAACTAACCGCTTTAAAGACACAACAAGATGGCGTTATCAAAAACAAAAAACGAGCAATCTCGGTCATCATCTAGTTGTAATTATGTTAGACTTTTGTTCGTTTAAAATATTTGCGAATGAAGAAATTACAAAATAACAAATTGTCTTTGTTGGTTCGTCTCAGTGTTTTCTTTATTTTTGGAAGCGGTGGCTTTTGACATTCAACAATGATTTAACAAGAGATTCAATTTTAAATAAACGGTTCTTATTTAAGACGACGATATCCTAAATTAAATTTAGTTTTAATTATAATGTATAGACTCGCGAAAACCGGTGAGAATAGAAACTGTATACCTGTTACGTTTAGACACCTAAACAACTGAACCAATTTGTGCGAATTTCGGCATGGAAATGCTTAAGCAAAGAATGTAGGCTATATATTTACTGGTGGTAGGGTCTGTTGTAAGTCCGCACGGGTAGGTACCACCGCCCTGCCTATTTTTTTCGTGAAACATTAATGCGCTTCGGTTTGAAGGGTGGGGCCGCCGTTGTAACTATACTGAGTCCTTAGAACTCATATCTCAAGGTGGGTTGCGGCATTTACTTAGTAGATGTCTATGGGCTCCAGTATCCACTTAACCTCGGGTGGGCTGTGAGCTCGTCCACCCATCTAAGCAATAAAAAAAATCGTACTGCTGAGCGCGGTCTCTGTTCCCACGATATATGTATAATACGCGAACAAAGCTGCGGACAGAAAGCTAGTATGAAATATTTATTCGTTTGGCAACGCGCCAAGCCCTTTACTTCGCACACCATTTATATTTTATACCAATACGTCGTCAGCAAGGTCGTCAAGTGCAATGTACCTACTTACCTGTAGGTACCTCGCGGGCGGACATTAAGATTCAACAGATGCCGTCCCCGCAATGTCCGTTACAGCTCACCTAACAATTACAGAATTAAAACCCGTTGTTCGTTTATCTAGCGCTACTTTGTAAGGGCGACTTATCAATTGAAAGTTATACCGTGTTACGCTCCACTAAGGCACCCGTTTTAGATTAAAGAAAACGAAAGTCTTATATACTGCTTAGTCTTCCATCAACTTCCGTAGTACTAATAAAACTAGTAATATATATCGTCCCTAATACCAGAGTACATCTCGCGCAGCTCAAAGAAGTTTCTAGAACGAATTACAGCAAAAGAGAGTAGCATTTTCCAGCGTAACATAGCTTCGCATTGTTTAGACATATTTAAATACTGTATTGACTGTTTAGTAACGCGTCTGCCTGAATGACATAGTTAAAAATTGTATAAATAGTCTCCACTAGTGACTAGTCGTTTGTGTAAGATACTCTACTCTTTGTAAACAATGAATTATTTTCAATAGACGCTTGTGTGCCACGAGGTTTTATTGGAAACATCATGGAAACAATTATCAAGATTGGTATTTAATATCATGTTAACGAGGAGAATGCGGCATGCATGTAATGTCGTAAATGTGTTTTTATTACCACCGTAGGCAAGCTAGTGTATTGTGATCGTCACACGTGATTTCGGATCCTCCCGATCCACTAACGGTGCTTTTAGGTACCTCAAGCACCGGTCATCGTTTTCGTCGAACCCGTCGCTTGCGACGAAGGGCTCAACGAGTAAATTAATCTCAGACACAGCCCACTGAGTTTCTCGCCGGATCTACCCAGTGGGTCGCGTTTCCGATCCGGTGGTAGATTCTGCGAGCACGGTTCTTGCTAGGGTTCGTGTTAGCAACGTCGTCAGGTTTGAGCCTCGTGAGCTCACTTACTAGTTAAGGTTACGTTGAAATAGCCTCTCAAAGCTATCAGCATAGGTAGGAAAAAAAACAGAGACTGTACAGCTGTTTTGGCAGCTCTACGAAGATTTTTTTTTTTTAAATTTACGTTGCGTGGGTCACGATTTATTTCGGCAAATTGTTTATAGTTATTAAAGTGCTCGACTGTCGTGGCCGTTTTTAATGGAAAAGTGAACAGGAAAGTTAAGTATTTGAAGAAAAATATGGCTGTTATTTTGCCAAACAGTAAGCAGCTGTTTGGTTATATCCCTAGCATTTTACACGTCCGTGAGTGACGGTAACCCCACACCATCAGATGGATTGTATACTAATCTAATCATTCAATCGTAGATAACACGTACCTAATTTGAGGTATGTCCACAGTGCTCCCAATGAGATGCAATCGGATTCAATCGGATTAACACTGTCAATAACATTCGAATCTGCATTAACTGGCAATCTGAATTAACTGGTTTACTCACAGAATTATTTCTCATCTAGAACAAAAATTATCTTTGTTGTAAATTATGTTTAGTTTACGCCAGTTTCGACTGGCGGATGTAAATCGCTGAACTAATAGTGAATTTTGAATGAAATGAATTAACAGTTTGTATATTCTTCGATGCGCCTCCACTCCGGATGAATCATCATCAGTTCGGAGAACGAGTCTTCCCAATTAATAAAGATATTGTTGGAACGTTTTAAAAACTGCGTGTTGTTTTCGGCAGTAAATTGTAGAAGAGTTTTTTTGTTACATTTACTTTGAGGCTAAAGTGTTCACGGTCCAATATACTAAATATAAGGTGAAAGCCGTCATCTCAGTTGAGGCTATGAGTAGTACAAATGATTAGTACAGTCGATGTCTCGAATTTTATCGCAAAGGATATCCCACTACTTCAATTAGGCAAGAAAGAAATGGTACACAGCGGCTTGGCTCTGCCCCTGGCATTGGTGACGTCCATGAGCGACGGTAATCATTTACCGGTGGGCCGTATGCTCGTCTGCGTACGAAGGCAATAAAAAAAAAACTGCTTCGCAACAATAGGCAGGATGCTTATGCATGCCAAAAAATAATTAAGAAACATCTGTCACTTGAGGTCATTGGCGGACATACTAAAAAAATCGTATAAAAACAATCACTCTGAAATGTAACATCGAATATATTTTACCGTATTCGTTCCATGGATGTATTAGGCCATGATAACGGCCATGGCGCAACACATTGGCGCGTCTCAAACCTCTGTCGAGTGTTTCGGGACATTTTTATCTAAGGTGGCCCGGGGGACTTGCATCTCTGAAGCAAGTACATAGGATGAACATATATAATATATTGATTGATTATTATGTGTAATTTAATAAATCTATCTACCTATAACCTAACTTTACTTCACTTTTAAAAAAAATACTGTCGCGTATTGTAGTATGTCGCGAATTTATAAAAACTGCGTGTCGCCGAGTAAAAAAAAAGGTTGAGAGCCACTGGCTTAGTATATTCACAATATGTAATGACAATGATAACATGCTATTTTATTACACCAATAATCGTGCACTATATAGCATTACATATTGCCTCCCGTTAATACGAGATGCATTATTATCACCTACGTATATAACTAAATTGATATTTGATTGTGTGGCTTTTATCATGAACAGAAACCGTTCATAGGANAAAAAAAAGGTTGAGAGCCACTGGCTTAGTATATTCACAATATGTAATGACAATGATAACATGCTATTTTATTACACCAATAATCGTGCACTATATAGCATTACATATTGCCTCCCGTTAATACGAGATGCATTATTATCACCTACGTATATAACTAAATTGATATTTGATTGTGTGGCTTTTATCATGAACAGAAACCGTTCATAGGAAAATTACACACGTTTTTATTAATGTTTTTATCGACACAACTATTATGAACAAAATTAGTGACGTTTAGGAGAGATTATTTTTTAAAGTCTATATTGTGGGCTACATTATATTTCTCCTGTGCGTGTGTTTGTCACTGAACTCCTAAACGGCTGGACCGATTTGAATGATTTTCTTTGTATGCATTTGGATGGCGCCCTGGATGGTTTAGATTCAAAAATCAGCCCGGCAGATGGCGCTGCAGTCGGTGTATAGATTATTTATCTTTCCTAGAAATTATTTATATGGCAAAACAACGTTTGCCGGGTCAGCTAGTAACTCATAAATACTTTTACATACACATTTAATCAATCTTTATTTCTTCCCTCTATTGACTCTAACTTTTTTTCTACTACCTATGCTGATAGCCTTGCGAGGCTATTTCAGCTTCGCCCTAACGATCCTAACATGTAGGTGAACTCACGGGACACAAACCGGAGTGTTGCTAACACTGGTCCTAGCGAGAGCAATGCTTCGCAGAATCTACCACCGGATCGGAAACGCGACCCGCTGAGAAGATCCGGCGAGAAACTCAGCGAGCTGATGCATGGGTTACAGAATCAGCTCTCCAAGATATCCGATATAGATGATTAGCTAAATATTAACTCAGTAAAAAGCAATATAAGTTTATGAAAATGTGGTTTTGAAAGTACCTATGCATTTTAAATTTCTGTGAAAATTCACATTCGTATCTTTGCTAATATATTTGATGAGAATGAAGTTTATAAATGGCAGTCTAAGCCTAATTTTTATTACCGAAATATTTCAATCACGTGGGTTCTTAAATAAAACACTAAACGAATTATCAATACTACCCATAGTATTCGTTGATGTTACTATTTTGACTTTGCATCCGTATTGCAGTAATACGATGTATGCTCAAAATTCTAGAGAGCCGTCAGACACCAATTTATCTAAAGAAATATTTGCTTCACACGCGCTCACGGACTGCTGCCAAGATAAGTGAATAACACCGTCTAGTGTTATCAAATCTATATAATTTATTTATTTTAGGCTTTTTAGCGAGAGATTCAATGTCGTTTCCTGAGCTTACGATTACGTGGTTAGCGCAACATTCTGTGTCACTGCCTGGAAGAGTCGAGCGTTTTTATTTCGAAAATTTAGTACAGTTTATCACAGTGCAGTTCCGATCCGGTAGTAGATTTATTCGCGAAGCAGCTGCTCTTGAGTTGTTAGGTCTCCTTTGGAGGCGCTCGGGCAGCTGTTAGCAAATCCCACCCCTCCTGGCTGAGCCTTTGCTCGCCCACCTGTCCTGGTGAATGCGGAAAGGCCTCCGTCTTACCAGTAATCCTTCAGTCGTAAAAAAAACGAATCTTTTCTATTTCTTACAATTCATATTTTTCAATTAATGTATACGTTTTAAAAGGTAAACGCTCTTGGACAAAAACAAGTTTAAAAATACTTTAAAAATAATTAAAAGAAGTAATTAGTAAACGTTCGGTACGCGCTTTATCATCGCATCTTAACAATGAAATGTTAAGATAAAACGATAACGGTACATTAAGATAGTCACTCTCCTTGTGATAACGTTTGTATTGTAATTACGCAATTACTACAAAAGTATTTATAAATGACAATCATTTTTTTTTTACATTCGTCAGAAACGAAATTCCGAGAACCGATTTGAACAGTTCGAAATGAAATGGAAATGAATTATGTTTAAATTTTTTTTTTTTTTTTTTATTTCTTAGTGGGGTGGACGAGCTCACAGCCCACCTGGTGTTAAGTGGTTACTGGAGCCCATAGACATCCACAACGTAAATGCGCCACCCACCTTGAGATATAAGTTCTAAGGTCTCAGTATAGTTACAACGGCTACACACCCTTCAAACCGAAACGCATTACTGTTTCACGGCAGAAATAGGCAGGGTGGTGGTACCCACCCGCGCGGACTCCCAAGAGGTCCTACCACCAGTAAATATATTATAATAATTGTCTTGTTAAATTATTATGTCATATTTTCTTTTAATCTTATAATATTTATAAGTAATTAGCCGTACTCGCCCGCTTCGCTGGGCATTTAAAATTAACATTATTATTTATGGTCATTATTATTAGGGAGTCCAACGCTCATATAAATATTAGCCTATCCATTAAGTACCTACAAGTATTCTCTCCAAATTTGGATTCCTTTATAATTAATTCAACATTTTTACTGGTGGTAGGACCTCTTGTGAGTCCGCACGGATAAGTACCACCGCCCTAGCTATTTCTGCCGTGAAGCAGTAATGCGTTTCGGCTTGAAGGGTGATGCAGCCGTTGTAACTATATTGAGACCTTAGAACTTATATCTCAAGGTGGGTGGTGCATTTACGTTGTTGATGTCTCTGGTAACCACTTAACTCCAGGTGGGCTGTGTGCTCGTCCACCCACCTAAGCAATAAATAGATAAAAAAGTTAACGCATCGCTTTAGTATGTTCGTGTGTCGTAATATCTTATTTTGAAGCGAAGATATCTAACTGTCTGCGTTATTAGAACTAGTTAAAACATTAGATTTTTTAACTGTGCTATATTTTCAAAGCAATAAGACATACATAATGTTTGTATCATTTCGTAATTTCAGGTAATATAAGTGCCGTGTTCACGTACAAGTGGAAGGGAGAAGAGATAGCGCGTCTCATAGACAACGGCACCAGAGTCACCATCGCTATAATCAAAGGGAGGTCCTTCGCAATCATACCCAAAGACTTCAACAAGTAAGTATTGTAATTATTACCATTTGATTAACACTAATCAAACCAACGCTCACTGGTACCTGTTTCTACCATAGCGGGTAGATAACGGTATGCGACAAGTAAAACCCAAAATGAACAAAAAAAAATTTGAAGAAAAAGTATAATAACTCTAGATTAATTGATAACAAGAAGTCATGAAGTCAAATGTGCAAAATCAATATGATGATACGTGCATTTTCAATGCAAAAGTTCAAAATGGGTCATTTGACCCGTTATGGTATACATATTTAGTGTTAAAGATGCTTGTATTACCATTGGATTATTTACATTGATATAATTGAAATGAGGTTATCAATTTGAGTCTATTTGTTATGTATACCTGTATGTATACCTCAAAACTTTTTTCAAGGTGAATCGATTTTGACGATTATTTTTTAATTGCAAACTGGTGCTTCTCATGTGGTCCCATTCAAATCTGTTGAGTATGTAATGCATTATAATTTATATTCAGTTGATTTGGCTTATATTTATGATATTCTCTTTTTTTTATTGTTTTATTATTACTAAAATTAGTTAGTAAACCATTGTGCTTATTATAAACAGTCGTCTGTAATATTTCCAGGACATCAGTACTGTTCGTGTCTATATCTTTTATCGTGCTCATGGTTATATCATTGGCGTGGCTTGTCTTCTACTACATACAACGTTTCCGATATATACACGCCAAGGACAGGCTCTCTGTAAGTATCGAATAAAATTAACCACACAGAGAGAGTGAGAGAGAAAAGGAGAGAGGGAGAGAGAGAGAACATACTTTTTTGCACACCAAATAAATAAATAAAAAACTGTCAGCAAGCAGATATAGCTGTCCATGTACATATATATAGTTGTACTGTTGTAAATAATGAAGTCGTCGTGGCCTAATGGATAAGACGTCCGGTGCATTCGTATTGAGCGATGCACTGGTATTCGGATCCTGCAGACGGGTACCAATTTTTCTAATGAAATACGTACGTAACAATTGTTCACGATTGACTTCCACGGTGAAGGAATAAACCACGTGTAATAAAAATTAAACTCGCAAAATTATAATTTGCGTAATTACTGGTAGTAGGATCTCTTGTGAGTCCGCACGGGTAGGTCCACCGTCTTGCCTATTTCTGCCGTGAAGCAGTAATGCGTTTCGGTTTAAAGGGTGTGCAGCCGTTGTAACTATACTGAGACCTTAGAACTTATATCTCAAGATGGTTGGCGCATTTACGTTATAGATATCTATGGGCTCCAGTAACCACTTAGCACCAGGTGGGCTGTGTGCTCTATTACTGACAGTATTCCGAAACTAAACTTTGAGAATCCTGAGCATAGTTTGAGAATACACGTTACGAATTTGGGATTTCGACAAACAAAAACATTTTTTTAGTCCTAACCGAGAAATTGCATTGTTGAAGTTCTAAAGTCGGACCATGACAGCGTTAGAAATAACATCGCAAATATTCATTTGTTTATAGAAACGTCTGTGCTGCGCTGCGAAGAAAGCTTTATCTAAAATTCCCGTTAAGAGCTTAAAGACTGAAGACAGAGTGAGTGACAGTTTAATTCATATTCAAAGTGTATTTATGATTAAATATTTTATAAGGCTTTTTATTATATAAGTTCTAAGCGAACTAAATCTAATTAAACCGAAAATAAATTCATATAAATTTGCAGAATATGTCGAGGCGATAACTAATGTCTATCGTTTTAATTCAAGGAAGTGCAAGGAGACGGCGAATGCTGTGCTATATGTATAGAGCCTTACAAAGTATCAGAAACATTGAGGTCTCTGCCGTGCAGGTGAGATACTGTTAAAAAAAACAAATACGATTTTGTAACAAAAAACAAATTACAGATCCACTTTCAACTATCCCAATCTACGGGTTAGTCTATTCTGTGGAGGGACGAGCTCACATCTGGTGTGACTTTTTGGCGGGAACGCGAGGAGTGAAGTTGTGTGATTTGTTTTATTTTGTCTATTTAGTGTTTCTTCAGGTTTAAATGTGTAATAACGGTGGTTTATTAACTGTTTAATAACTGTGAAAGTGCACAAATGTGGGAAAATGAAACAAAGCCGCTGGACGTAACTTCTCGGGATCCTCCAAAAAGTCCACTGAAAAAATCTCAGTAAATGACCACCATTTTATTGAGATTATATTTCATCCCATATCATCCTCATTTCATTTAATTTCATCCAAGTTGATTAATGTCTCAAATTAATCATCTTCATTTCATTTATCTCCATGTTATTATTTTTTATAAAAATAAGAATATAAATTAAAAAAAGACATGACTTAAAGGTCTTAGTTACCAGGTCATAAAATCTCTTAAAACTTAAAACATCTGGTGTCACAAGTGTTTTCCGGAGCTTCTAGATATCACAACCCGACTGCCGCCGTCCACCTTGAGATGTAAGGACGAATTCTCAATTGTATTTTATAAAAACTGTTCCTGGCAGAAAAAGACTGGATGACGACAGTAGCTTCCTGACGGAGTTACCCGATAAAATAACTAAATACGCAACTTAGTAATTTTACGGGTTTGATTTTTATTATATGTGTTTTTCTTGGAAGTCAGTTATAGGAGTTACATATTTTCTTAGAAAAACTGGCATTTGCTTACGATGTCTGAACGCATAATAATCACATCGTACGAGCACACCAGGCGCCTTGTCTCTTAAGCCACGACGAGTTTAATAAAAGATGTGATTTTCTTTTTTATTGCTTTGTTGTTTGGACGAGCTAACAGCCCACCTGGTGCTTAGTGGTTACTGGAGCTCATAGACATCTACAACGTAAATGCGCCACCCACCTTGAGATATAAGTTCTAAGGTCTCAAGTATTGTTACGACGGCTGCCCCACCCTTCGAACCGAAACGCATTACTGCTTCACGGCAGAAATAGGCATCGTGGTGGTACCTACCCGCGCGTACTCACAAGACATCGGTCCTACCACCAGTAATTACGCAAATTATAATTTTGCGTGTTTGATTTTTATGACACGATGTTATTTTGAACATTTATAGAGTACGTATTGTACGTACGTAAATTGGTACTCGCCTGGGATTCGAACACCGGTGCATCGTTCAATACGAATGCACCGGACGTCTTATCCTTTAGGCCACGACGACTTCAAAAGCGCAAGTCGGCAGTAGAGACATATCGCAATTCGTAAATATTTTTGCTCCAAGGAAACAAGGAAAAACGCTTACCCACTAAACCCCAATAGTGTTTCCTGTCTACGATTCGTGAAAACATCACTATAAATATATTCTCACAGCACACTCACTCTACCGATCTGTTATCTAATCAGTCAAGAGAACTTTACGTCTAACTAAATATACTTTAGACTCAATAAAACGACAAACGAATTTCCTGTTTTCTTTCTCAATTTTCAGGCACGATTTCCATAAGAACTGCATAGACCCGTGGCTGTTGGAGCATCGAACGTGTCCCATGTGCAAGATGGACATACTAAAGTACTACGGGTTTGTGGTTAGTATACAATCATATAGCTTTGTCAGCGTCTATAGCCTTTAGCGGTCTCGCGGCGCGTAAGGTATTAAACTACATGACTATACAAATTATCATCATCATAGTCGGTTACTCTTGGCAGAGCAGTCGTGGTCATGTGGTATTCTTCTTTATTAAAGCCTTGACAGATGGTTTTCCATAGCTTACGAACTGAAGCTTGGCGCACGCATTTCGCTGAATCTGCCACCGTATCGGAATCGCGACCCACTGAGAAGATTCGGTGAGAGTGGATCGAGAGAATCCAAAAGGACATGTCTGTGGTGACGGCGGCTATCGCTGCCAGTGGTCATCCAGTCTGCTTCCTGCTTTGGATACAATCTCGTCCTGTTAATGGGCACCGTCTATTACGTGCAATAAAAAAACCACTTAATTTATTTAATTGTCATATTTTATGTTCTGGTAACTTTAGTGATTCAAATATTTAAACTTACCTTTTCTTACAGTTTACTGGGAGTCAGGAGAGTATTCTGCAGTTAGAAGTTGAGGAAACGAGAGGTCACGCATTGAGTCCCTCTCGTAATAGACATCCATTAACTTTGGTAACTAATTCATTAACTACTTATTAATGTCTACCTTTTGTATTTTTTTTGGCACTCTAATGAATTTAGAATGCAAAAAGACAAATCGTCATTTTTTTTTATTATATTAATTTCAATACGATTTATGGAAACAGGAATATTATAGCACACAAATTTAATGTGTTTATATAAATCATTAATACCAAAGCAGATAGTGTAAAAATATTAATTCAATTTGAACGTGGTCACACTACGAAATAACACCGTGCCAACTTGAAAGATGTCATTTTTGACAATTGTCAATGAAGCCACATAATTTAATAGTAGTGCAAAAAGTATCTCTCTAATAGAATTTCTATATGTACGTAATTAAAATGGAATCGAATTAACTCTGTGTCTGCCATGTAGGTCACCAGTGCCCTACGCGGCGCATTGGACTAATTATGTCGATTTATTTTACGCTTGATATGACCGGATTGCCTAACTTTGCTTTATTTTGTATTTTAATGTAACTTTTAGTATTTTAGGTTTCTTAGAAATAGGTTCATTCTGAGTATCTTCGGATTTGTCTTTCTCAGAATGTACTAGATATTTCGGCAATTCAGAAACAGAAATCGACATATATACTTCAGTGCGCCGCGTAGGGCACCGGTGGCCTACATAGTAGTCAAAGGATTAAGAGATTGTGTCAAATATCTCTCAAATTTTTCCTTTATTACTGCTTAGGCTAGTTTAGTATTGGTTTTGCTTCGTTGTATAGTTAACGAGCGACAACTCTTACGACGAGGCGATTAGCGAACGAAGCAGTCGCGCTTCCTCGCCGGATCAACTGGTGCCGCGCTGTCCGCACGAGACCAGGTATGTCAACAATTTTTTTTTAATTTTCTTTTATTGCTTAGACGGTTGGACGAGCTTACAGCCCACCTGGTGTTAAGTGGTTACTGGAGCCCATAGACATCTACAACGTAAATGCGCCACCCACCTTGAGATATAAGTTCTAAGGTCTCAGTATAGTTACAACGGATGCCCCACCCTTCAAACCGAAACGCATTACTGCTTCACGGCAGAAATAGGCAGGGTGGTGGTACCCATCCGCTCGGACTCGCAAGAGGTCCTACCACCAGTTGTATTGTGGTAGTCCCAAATATGACGAATATTTGGGACTACTCTCGCACACAAGAGGCGCCGATGATACCGCTTCAGCCCTGTTAAGGATATTGTAGGGAAGTAACAGTTTTTTGTAATTAAATTAGCAGACGAATTCTCCTTAAGCGAGTAATGGAACAAACTAGGTCTCTCTCAGTGATATAGAAAATTATATTCCTTTAAATATTTTTGTGTCGCGGCTCTTACCATTATATCCTATAGCCGAAAAATTCAAAGATAACAACAGTAACCAATAAATAAATAAACAATAATAGCTGGGAACAAACCACGCACGATCATCCGGGCCGGGCTCCAGTAACCACTTAACACCAGGTGGGCTGTGAGCTCGTCGACCCATCTAAGCAATAAAAAAAAAATACGTATTCCGAAAGTCATGAGCTCTAGTGAGCAAGTGTAAAAAATAGATTAAATAGCGTATTTTAGTTTCAGATCATGCACATCAACCCCATCCGGCTCACCGCGACCGAATACCTCGCGACAACATGACGTCGCCTCCACCAGCACCTCCAACGCTCAGGAGTGAGAAGTCAGTCCTGATTAAAAACAACCCGCCTTGTGCCAAAAGCATTCGCCATACTCCATACTTGTAGTCTGTGGTATTTGAAGTCAGCGTTATTTATGATCGAAATTGTCTACGGTACTTACAGCCTGGATTATCTATGATCACATAGACCAAAGTGCTATGGATATTGCCGTAACAAAAGTGAGAAAGTGATGTGTTCATAATAAAGAAAAAAAAAATACTCAAAAAAAAGTTTATAAAGATTTTTGTGTAACTTCCAGTGATCGGAACGTGTAATGGTGGCCGACAAGTGATATTTTGTGTTTTCGTTTTTAAGAACATTTATCGCGTATTTGTTTTTTTTTTTCAAGTGCAGCACCGAAAACTCCGCCTAGTCAACGAAATAGTGTTCATAACATTGTCAGAAATTAAACCTGAAAATAAGCATTGTTCCCTCAGTATGTTCACTATGGCCGCGAAAATTCAGTAAAAAATGAAACTCAAATTATGTCACTCGCAATTATTTAAGTAAGTTTATGATAGCAGCACTATAGTCGTATTTTTTATTAGACGACGTCAATTGACCTTTACTGTGTTGTCAATTTTTGATGAAATAAAAATAGTGTTGTGACAAAGTGAATGATTGAAAAAACTCCTGAATTAATGATATTGCCTCGATTGTCTAGTGAATAGTTAGTGTGCCGGACTACCGATTTCGGGTATGGGGTTCGAATTTTAGTCGTGCTTTGTACATACCAATGAGTTTTCGACGATTATGTTCCTATAGTATCTACCTATACTGAATACAGAGTGTTTTAAACAGTAAGGAAAACATTGCGAGGAAGCTTGTAAGACGGTTCTATTTTCAATGCATCATATAGTTGAAACTATAGATGTATAAAATACTAGCGACCCGCCCTCGCTTCGCTTCGAAAACATTAAAACACACATGAAACCAAAAAAATAAAATAAAAAAATTTTTAAGAAAAAGTAGCCTATGTTCATCAGGGACAATGTCGGCTTCTAATGGAAAAAGAATTTTTCAAATCGGTCTAGTAGTTTCGGAGCCTATTCGAAACAAACAAACAAACAAATCTTTCCTCTTTATAATATTAGTATAGATAGGTACTATAGGTAGGTAATGACATTTTAAAAAAAACTGATTGTAGTTACATTTTACTAGTAACATATATTAGAGCACTTTAATACAATTTTATTTTAAAATAGAAATAATATGCTTTTATAGTTTGAAATGATTAACTATTCACACTCATTGTTCATTCATCTGATTTAACGAGAACTGAACGCATCACTATTACTTTAAATATGGCAACATTATTTTACAAAGTGACATTGGCTACTGTCAGGTGGCTTCGTCTAATTAAAAATACGAATGTATGGTCGAATGTACTCGAAACGCTTCGAACCGCCAGACCTGGGAGCGCATTGTCTGGAGGGCGGTGGTCGGGAGTATGGGCGTCCTAACAGGTCCCCCTGCACATACAGCGTCAGCGCAACCACGACCACTCTGACAAGAGTGCCCGACTGAGAAGAAGATAGCATAATTAATAGCAAAATCTGTTTCAAATGAAATTGAATCTTTTCGAAACCGTGCAATTTGCCTTCAAATTGGCCAAAGAAGTTTTCATATTGAGGAAACGATTACCACTTTGTACTTACAATACTACAATGTGCTCATTAAACTTCTCGCGAAAGAAGTACTTAAATTGGTTTTTGATCTCATTAAAATGGTTTTTTTTTAAACTAAAACTATACTAATACTTCAGGTTTGTCAATTCAAATTGTGTAAATAATTAGTTTAATACCCATTTTGTTTACTTGAAAATTTATTTTCAATACAGAACACTGTAGCGATATTAATTATCGTTGATATAAAGTTATGATATGGTAAAGATATCACAGCTGATGTTATTTAAAATACTGTAATTTGGTCTAATGTATCCGTCCATAACATATTCTGATAAAACTTAATCTTGTAGCTTATGAAATTTCATAAAAATACTAAAATAATACATAATATAGCTATTGTTAATATTCCGTGTTAACCGTGTTTTACACAAATGTAATTTTATAATAAAATATTTTTTTAATGTCATAATGTATTTTTGGTAAACATTCAAATCTTATATGAACGGCTGTTGAATAAAATGTCAAAACAATGTCAAATATTTATCAAGTTTTAAATATAATTTATTGTTAAGTCGTAAATAAAATTAACTGCCCGCCATAAAAATTCGTGAGTACGAACTATAAAACAATTACATTTTATAATTCATGTGAAGCTAGCGAGTCGAAATCATAATGATTACATTTGTGACAAAAAAATATTTAACTTTATTGATATTTGCAAGTACTTAAATGTGGTCAAAATTACAAAAGCCACATGTTAACCAAATTTCATACAGAGAACCATATGGTATTTTCAACACTTATTTCGTGACTCTCGAGTTGAATAGGCAATAAAATCTAGTCTGAAAATTTATCGCTTTTAATTACAGTAAATAATAATTAAAACACAACATTTTTTCAACACACAATAAAAGTGTACTTCAAAATTCAACTGTATTGTTTTAAAGGCGATTTTATTCAAACTTTATTTTAATTTTAAGTTTTATTATTTAAGTAAGCATTTAAGTTATGTACACAGATAACATTAAGGTACTTGATAAAATAACGAGGAGACTGGCATGTACTTTTAAAATGATCGAGTTTGTGAACACATTCCCTTTGATTCGAATGTCAACGTGTTAAAAAGGTGTTGTAATAAACCAATACAGTATTGAAATTTGTATTTCATTGAATCTTGTTGTTTATGGAAACTGTAATCTCAGTTCTCTTAAAAAAAGGATTAAAAAGCTTCAACATTTTGAATGTTGTTTTGTGATAATGGCAACTAGTTATTTTTCATTAAAGATTTTAATTTTGCCTTCCAATTATTTATGGTATATTGATATTGGTATACTGACATTTGACAACACAGTCATGTCATTGGCAACACGCTTCCATTCCCTGGATAATATAAAAATACTGTCTTCCCAAGGATGGTAAATTATGTAAATTTGGAAATAAATATAACTTTGCAAGGTTCGTGTGGTTTATACTACGTTTTTGTTGAGATTAGATTATCAATCATCAGATAGACTTATCACTTAAATAAATTAAAGCTACTTTTATGTTGTAATCTATAAATAATATATTTATGAGCAAACTCCTGCACTTTACGATATCTTTGACTCTATGGGTGATGGTGGTCACGACCCTCAGACATGAGGAACACGACTCGAGGAGGAGGACTCTATCACACAGATAGATCTTATGTTTTGGCATATACACTGCTTTTCCGATATTACGTAATTCTATGCAGAATCGATCTTGTCGCTTCGCTCAAATAGTTATTACAAGTCAATCAATCGATTTGTTAGATACATGATTTTAGTCTTCCATTTAAATTTTCGATTGTTTCACGGGACTTTCAATGGACAATGACCATTTCTTAATTCCAGTGATATAAATTGTAGTACTATTAGCAAAGTTGCCCGGTATACTCATATCGAGTAGTGTAACTGTCCTCCTCCTTGAGTCGCATTCTTCATGTCTGAGGGTCGCCAATGCTGATAGCCTTGAGAGGCTATTTCAGCTTCGCCCTAACATGTAGGTGAGCTCGCGGGGCTCAAACCGAAGTGTTGCTGACACTGACCCTAACAAGAGCCGTGCTTTGCAGAATCTACCACCGGATCGGAAATGCGACTCACTAGGAAGATCCAGCGAAAAACTCAGTGGGCATTTCCTCCCATTAACTATAGTAGAATTCAAATTTGATAGCAGTTACTAATTTTTCCTAGTAAATAATACTTTATGAATAACATCCATTGCTGCTCTATTACTGGCGATACTAGGGGTCATTTAGGTTGAATTTTCAGAAAGTAAACAACTTAATTAGGTACAAAAATTTAATATCTCGTAAAGATACATTACACTTCAAAATTTTATTATCTATTCATTACCAGGTAAAGTATCAAAATTTTTAGATGACGAAAAAACTAGAGTTTACTTGTTGGCGATTTCACACAACGCTTTTTCTTTTCTAAATGTACTTTAATTTTTGTTACGAATGTTATAAAATTAGTAAAACATAATAAAAATAATAATGGAGGTACATACTTCTACTACTACACACTCTGCTGTGGAAAAATTTAGTTTGAGTAAGCAATTATTGATTTTTAAACGTTGAACTAACAATCTCTTGCGTCAAAGAAAATCATACAATACATTTAAAACGTTATGAATTAAACTTAGAGATTAATTACTACACATAAAAAAAAAACATATTTAATTTCATAATTTTACCAAAGAATTATCACATACAAAACAAAGGACACGGCCTCTCGTACCGTATTCAGCAGTCTTTAATGCTTTTAACGTTCGAACAATTAAACATCATCACATTCTTCTTCGATCTCTCCTTAAAACTTAAAGAACTAAATAAAATAAAAAATCAATTACAAACTAAATGTTAATATTGTTTTGTTAGATCCTCTCGATCGCTAGTGACGCGTGTCGGCGTCTTTGAACTCCACCGGCGAATAGAGAATACAAACAAAAACAATACCGTCACACACGAAATACAGAAGTCACACGTAGAAAGTAGCATATTAAAAACCGACTTCCATTTAAATACGAATAACAATTGTGATTATATAACGAATAATACCTACTAAACTGTATTATTTCTATGAGTCGTTGGCGCATAATTATTATCGATTTTTATATATCGATACATTTTTGTGTGCAATTTCGATATAAAGCGCGTCTTGTTGACAGCAATATCAAACGGTGAGGGAAGCGGCATGACACTCTCTCATGTGTCTCGCTCCCTCCACGCGCCCGCGACTGGCGTGTGTGCGTGCGCGTACTCAACGCTGTTGCTTAATTGTGTGAGTGGTTTACCTCGTATGCTTTTTTCCTTTTTTTGTAGTGAAACTTCTAATGCGACTTTCAACAAGGTTGCGTTAAACGTTTAACGCTACCATACTAGAAAGAGACAGAGCGAGAGTGAATGCGTGGCACTCGAACGCATGCGCGTAATATAGGTTACAGGCCAGCGCGAGCGTCAGCGACGACACAGCATTCCCTAGTAGAAGAGCAATCTGATTTAAGAATGAGAAATGAAGAAAACCACAATACTATACATCGAAAAAGAAGTTTCACTTCATTCACGTGCACCAAGTTGCACGCGATCCGTTTTAATATCTTTTTAATTTGTTTTCACTCCACAATTTCATAATAGTTTTAATTAGTCATGCATATGCCTTACATCTGCCCCGAGTCTGATGGTCGCCTAATTTTTTTTATCGCGACATGGTAGCTCCACGGTTATCTGTCCACGAACATTTTTTGTTGCACGCGGTATTACGTACAGATTATACTATACACAAGTATACATAAATACGTGCTATTTTTAAAATAATTTAAGATTCATACTAGTACTCTTAATTTTTTTAATATCCTAATCATTTAGTTTGTAGATTCAAATTATATAATATTAATGTTGCTACTACGATTCTTACATAGATGTTTCGAAACTATTATTGAAAAATTCTGTAAAATATGTTTTATATTAATAATTGGCAGTATGTAGTAAGTTTTAAGTACAATAGTAAATCTTTTTTTTCTCTTGTAAAAACTTACGTAGTTAGATTATCGGTTAACCAATACTAAGTCCATCGGCCTATATGTTTTCATGATAATTAAATCAGACAATTATGCTAAGGCTAAACGTGGATTAACGATGCAATGGAACTAATTGTTCGTGATTGCTTATATAATCTTAATAACGAAAACACGAAAACCGCGATTCAATGTAACGTAAATAAAAATCAGCTGTCGCTCGAGGTCAATGACCTCAAGTGACGCTGCGTTCGCTTTAGATTCAATCCCACATAGAGAAAATCCCACAAGATGTTTAAAACCTACATATACATAGGTTTAAGAAAACTATTAAAGATAATCTGTGCAATAAAGCTTACTATAAAGTCAATGATTAGCTAGAAGATTGCACAAAGTGGGAATGAGTTGCTCGCTCCGGGCATTTCAATATTGGAATAATTGTTACGTTATAATACTCATTGTAAAAAGGAGTACTTAAAAAAAATCTAATATTAAAAAAAATTATCTAATATTTAAGACAATTAAAATTTCTAATACAACAATCATTTATATTGAACTTACTGAAGATTTTTGTTTCAAAGTAGCTATTGGTTAATTTGAGGATGTACTTACTACATTATACAAAATATAAATTTTAAACCTTTTGATATACGTACGTAATACTAACTATATACATCAAATTACTTAATTTTCTAGACACAGAGGCATATTTATTTATTTATATAATCGTATGTACTTTAAAAAAATATTTTTTCTATAGATTAATGTGTTTCTTGGAGTTCTTGAGTTTTAGATTAAATTATTTAACGGCACCTGATTCTAAACACTGTTTCATATTTCGAGTTTATTATATTATGTTAAATTTGTGAGTGAATTCTTAAATTTACGTACTCTCTACGGTAGCTTCAGGCAGTTCGTACATTTCGTGAGCACCCGTGAGTTCGCCCACAAAGTACTCGTCGAAATTAAACTTCGATCATTTATCCCACAGTCCGACCTCTTTCATTTTAGTTTGGAAATATTTCTCAAGAGTGTTCGCGCACCTAGAAGGGGAGAATGCGAAATTATAACAATATATAGCGTTAAAATTGACAGTGAAAACTTAACATAGGTAAAACTAAAGTATTTAAACTGGAACATTCCATAGTTACTAGTCGCATGTTTGGATTGCCAGTAAGTAGTAAGTACTAGAGGTCCAGTGTCTAGTAAAACATCCAATTTATTAGATAATTGTACTATCACTGACAAAAAGCCCACGTGAGTTTCTTGCCGGATCTTCTCAGTGGGTCGCGTTTCCGATCCGGTGGTAGATTCTGCGAAGCAATACTCTTGCTAGGGTCAGTCTTAGCAATTTCGCCAGGTTTGAGCCCCGTGAGCTTACCTACATGTTTGGTAACGCTGATATAGCCTTACAAGGCTATCGGCATAGGTAGAAAAAAAAACTGACAAAAATGTTGTGCTTTGGCATTTAAACTGTTGTGTTGTAAATAAGACATTTCGGAACTTCCCGATACGCTACCGGTGGTTTTAGGTACTTCAAGCACCGGTCACCGTTCTCGCCGAACCCGTCTGTTACGACAAAGGGCTCGGTGAGTAAATTAACCCTCAGACACAGCCCAGAGTTCCTCGCCGGATCTTCTCCGTGGGTCGTGTTTCCGATCTGGTGGTAGATTCTGCGAAGCATTGGTCTTGCTAGGGCCAATGTTAGCAATGTCTCCTAGGCTGAGCCCATCGGCTACAAGTTTGGTGAAGCTAGCCCATTACCCCTCGCGGTTACTAGTTTATTTTTGTTGCCCTTGTAAGCAGACGAGCATACAGCCCACCTGATGGCGAGTAGTTACCGTCGCCCATGGACTTCAGCAATGGTACATAAGTATTAAAGTTCATCGCACCTGTAGTAGTCGGTGTCGGGCGAGTTGTAGAGTCTGCAGTTGTTGAATATTCGGGTCATGTCCGCTATGAACAGCCGCTTGGACACGTAGTAGCGCGCCTTGAGACGTTCCCCCATCGTGCGCAAGTCTTGCAACACAAAGACAAACACACACACACATACAATACATAAATCTACAGTGGTTTTTACGGATATTCCATTATAACTACTGAACCATGCATCCGATCGACTTGAAACTTGGTATCCATGTAGAAAATATATGTACTTAATGGATAGGCTAATATTTATATGGGTGTTGGACTCCCTACACCAGTTGCGGGGGCCTCAATGATGAGAATATTTGTGGGGGTGAGAAATAATAATGTTAATTTTAAATGCCCAGCGAAGCGGATGGATACAGCTAGTCTGCCTATAAGAGCAATAAAAAAAGACAGACTCACCCATCGGATACTTGATGTGATCGTAGTAGTCCGGCACCTCCGCCTTGTCGACCGGCTTCAGGAACGGCCAGGCCGTCGCGTGGTTCTTTACCTAAAACGTTATTAACAATTAATCGAAATTCAACCTTAGTCCCTGATACCTAAGATTTAGATTACATTAACCATCGTTACATTTTAAATTCATTATAAAATTATAACACTAAATCTCTACAATAGTTACTAAACAATAAGGTAATATATTATACAAAAAGAATACAGTCGAAATGAGAACCTCTTCATTTTTTTTTACAGTCGGAGAAAGACGTCAGTATTATTAACCCTTCGCACTGAAGTACTTAAGTCAATTTCTGTTACTAAGCACCTGAAGATTGCCTAACTTTGCCTTCATTTGTTTGTTAATCTATGTTTTAGTTCTCTTAAGTCTCTTATACTGGTCACTCACATTCGCACGAATACGCAAACCCACAAGTGTAGGACGACATTTGCAAATGATTATGCAAAGTTTTGGCTGCATTCGCAGTTTTGCAAGCTGTGTCGATTTTTTAACGACATCAAAGCGCGCGAACCGCGATCCTTCGCGTAGTCTCACACACATTCGTGTGACCAGTTGCGCCCACGATTGCGAAGGTAACGGACGGTTCGCCATTTTCATAGTCCGTGACGTCTACTGTGTAGCGTACCTTCATCATGGATTGGAACAACACCAAGGTGATGGAGGTCATTGAACTCCTGCAAAATGAATCGACCATATGGGACCCTCAAAAGAAATCCCATAACAACAGAATGGCCGTTAATGACACCTAGGAAAGAATTAAAAACTCTTTTTCTCTTCAATGTTCTATTGACGAATTAAAATAGAAGAGAAATTCGTGAGACATTCGTAAACAAGTGTAGGAGGAAGCGCAAACGGGTTCGCAAATTGAATACCGAACCCATTTGCACAGCCGCTATGTTTGCGAATAAATATCTGACGGCCCTTCACATGCGCGCGAACATTCGTACAATGTGCAAATGTTCGCGCGCATGTGAGTGCCGGCATTAGAAATAAGATTCATTCTCAGTATCTTCAGATTCGTCTTTCTCAGAGTCTTCTAGATATTCCGGCGCCTTAGTAACAGAAATCGACAAACATGGCAGTCAAAGGGTTAAAGAAGAACAAGGCGCTGGACTGTTATGTCTTTGCCTATTTATATACAGACTAGCGGCCCGCTCCGGCTCCGCTCGGGTCCTTAACAAAAATTTCAACGATATTTGACATTGTTTTATTTTTTTCAATAAAATAACACTTATTGCGGCATAACTAATAACTATAATAGTTAGACATATGCTGTCGCGACACTTTTTCTAATTAATAATGTGCTCTACAAAGTCGTAGTACATTATTTTATTCTGTCATCAATACTTTTTCGCAGGGCACGCGATGTAAAGAATATTTTAGGTATTTTTTTTACACTTTGGGTTAGATTATTGGATTTTTAGTAAGGATCTCTAATTTTTTTTTTAAAAATATTGCAGCCTGTCACTCGGGAGTAGTGTAGCTTTCAAATAGTGGAAGAATTTTTCAAATCGGTTCAGTAGTTTTGGAGCCTATTCAATACAAACAAACAAACAAATTTTTCCTCTTTATAATATTAGTATAGATTTTTTAATAGTGTTCATTATTTCTGCCTTGTGATGTCCACGGACTGCTGTGATATCGCACAACAGAACAAACGTTCCATAGTGACTTGTATATACTGACTGCGTGCAGCACGTTCCGCAGGGTANTTTTTCAAATCGGTTCAGTAGTTTTGGAGCCTATTCAATACAAACAAACAAACAAATTTTTCCTCTTTATAATATTAGTATAGATTTTTTAATAGTGTTCATTATTTCTGCCTTGTGATGTCCACGGACTGCTGTGATATCGCACAACAGAACAAACGTTCCATAGTGACTTGTATATACTGACTGCGTGCAGCACGTTCCGCAGGGTGACGGGGTCGGGGTCGGGGTCGTGAGGGGGCGGGGGGGCGCGCCACCCTGCCTCGCGCGCCCCGGGGATGCACTCCGGGGGGAGGCTGCGGACCTAGAACAATACACGACGAAACTAAATTCTTAGTGGATGAGCTCACAGCCCACCTGGTGTTAAGTGGTTACCAGAGTCCATAGACAACTACAAAGTAAATGCGCCACCCACCTTGAGATATAAGTTCTAAGGTCTCAAGTATAGTTACAACAGCTGCCCCACCCTTCAAACCGAAGCGCATTACTGCTTCACAGCAGAAATAAGCGGGGTGGTGGTACCTACCCGCGCGGACTCTCAAGAGGTCCTACCACCAGTAAAGATTCTATTGATCGATTTTTTTTATTACTTAGATAGGTGGACCGGATCGGGGAATCGCGCTCGTGCCGTCCTCCCCGGCCTCTGGGCCGAGGATCCGAAGTGGAATCCCCACTCCCTTTCGCACTCCTCAGCTTCACCTCACATAAGCAAACCCCTAGCATTCTTTGAAACAGCAGTTCGTCAATCGATCCACTTCAGTCAGTCTATGAGTCGAGAGTAACGTAAATGCACTTTCTGAATAAGTATGTCAAACAATTCAATAGGTTTACGTTTTTTTTTTATTATCTTTTATTACTTTAAAAATTTTAATTCGCTTATTCCGCTTCGTTTCACGTGATCCGTTCGCTGTTTCGCTTCGAATAGTTCCGATTTCTAACTGACTCCGTGTTATCTCTGCAGCGCTTTTATAGTCGATACAAAATCCCTAGAATTATTGAGAACATTCCTCACAAGTCGAGAATTTTACATATGCGTTTCCGCCAATTGTCAATAGATGGCGTTGTACCCCTCGAGCGTTCTGGACGTTACTAGTTCATTTAATATTCGTTTCTGCTTTTCAGCCATAGATGGCGTTACTATTACCGGCATAACAATATCTATGTTATGCCTTATTATTTTATTTAGTAAATTATAAACTTAAGCACATGTATTGGGTAACATGTCAGTTCACTGTGCATCTGTTTTAATATAAGCCGCACTTAGTAATCCTTTTTAAGGAAAAGGAGTGTAATTACTCTAATTAATAACACTACAATCTAATTTTAAAGAAATGTCTATATGTATACATACACCTTCCTTGAAGCAAGTGAGGCCGGGATATATTTTTCTAACTTCCTTCTGTCGCATATCTATAAGTTTCTTTACGATCTGAAATGAAAGTATTTTTATTATTTCAGATTCTACTTGATATACACAGGACTAATTACACAAATACTTAATACATGATACCTATACCTACCTAACACAAATAAGTTTATTTATTTTTTATATATTTTATAAGTATATAAAAAAAAGTTACACAGCTTAATAGTTTCTTAAAATTCTCAGATGTTGATGGTATCAAGTGTAAACTATTTCTGCCGTGAAGCAGTAATGCGTTTCGGTTTGAAGGTGGGGCAGCCATTGTAACTATACTGAGACCTTAGAACCTATATCTCAAGGTGGGTGGCGCATTTACGTTGTAGATGTCTATGGGCTCCAGTAACCACTTAACATCAGGTGGGCTGTGAGCTCGTCCACCCATCTAAGCAATAAAAAAAACAGAGCGTAGTCGGAATGCTAACTATATTCATTTACTAAGCCAATATCGCTTTGTAGTGAAGCAGCAATGTAACGTGTAGCACCGTCACAACAGAGTCCATTTACCAGCGGTTTTTTGTTTGTAATACATTACGTGCAATGCAGTATATTATCATTTTTCGAAAGCTACTTAAACGAACAAGGCCTCCCTAGTACAATTTGGGATGTTTAACGACAATGGGAAGATCTTCCACCGAGGGGTGATATTGCTCGGTAGACCGACGGTCCGAATGTTGTTGTTCGGAACTTGTATTTATGCGAGTTTATCTTGAAAATGTCGTAAGCGAGATTCAGGCATCAATTGCGTTGTATGATGGCTACCCGCCACAACAACATTAATAATTTCAAATATCAGTAACGACGTACCTCTTTCTGCATCCTAATAACCGAAGTGAACTGTGTGTATACTATTCTAGGGTTCAATTCGCAGTGCATGAGGGTCGCTCCCTCGTAGTCCTTTATGTATCCCTGGTACATAGCTCTAGGCAGCTTAATGTCTTTACTGAAACCCTGCTTCTTGAAGTAGCCTGTGGAATTAAACAGATCAGGCTCGGAGATCAGAGGATCTTTAGTGACTGTATTCTGTGAGTAAGAGACGTAGCCTTCTGAGGCTTGACAGACAAAAGTTATGAGGTAACAAAAAAAAAAAAAAAACATACAGTCGAATTGAATACCTCCTCCTTTTTTGAAGTCGGTTAAAAAAGAGCTACGTTACCTTGAGAAACTAATCGCGCTCACCTATTGCAAATTCATCGGCGAAGGTAAGGAAGTGCAGTATGTTGTTTCGGATGTGGTAATCCTTGAGGTGGTTCATGAGGTGAGTGCCGTATCCTTTCACTTGTTCGTTGGACGTGACCGCACAGAACACTATCTCGCTGAAGCCCTGTCAACGATTTTGAAGACGTGAGTGGAAGAAGGGGCTAAGTACGATTTTTAAGATTTTTTATATTTTACATTGAATGAAGGTGTTATGTGCTTATAAGCCTTATTTATTACTGGTGGTAGGACCTCTTGTGTCCGCACGGGTAGGTATCACCGCCTTACCTATTTCTGCCGTGAAGCAGGGCAGCCGTTGTAACCTTAGAACTTATATCTCAAGGTGGGTGGCGCATTTACGTTGTAGATGTCTATGGGCTCCAGTAACCACTTAACACCAGGTGGGCTGTGAGCTCGTCCCCCGTGTGAGCCACCCGCGCGGACTCACAAGAGGTCCTACCACCAGTAATTACGCAAATTATAATTTTGCCGGTTTGATTTTTATTACACGATGTTATTCCTTCACCGTGAAAGTCAATCGTGAACATTTGTTGAGTACGTATTTCATTAGAAAAATTGGTACCCGCCTGCGGGATTCGAACACCGGTGCATCGCTACATACGAATGCACCGGACGTCTTATCCTTTAGGACACGACGACTTAAAACTTTAACTTTAAAATTCGCTAACACAACTATATTATATTCCTTTACATACTTGCGAATGGAATGTCCTGAAGCAGATGCCACCAATCGGCCTGCCTTCTTTGATCAGAGCCAATGTCTTGTGTTTCCTGTAAGTATATTCAAATTTAAGCTTTATGTCTGGCTTCATAAAAGTCATTATCCTTTGAATCAATACTCACGGATCGAACACTAATTGCGATATGTATTCTTTAGTCATTTCCGGTAGTTGGTGGGAGAAAACGTTGTGGAGACCTGGAAGCAACGCCGTACACTTAATTATGTGCATATTTACTGAGAATATTACAATCAGTAAAGTTGTGATATTATTAAAATAATTATAAATAGAAATGCTTTAACAAAAACCGACTTGAAATAGAAAAAAAAGATATTCCCAAACAAATTAATATACACTAAGAACAATCATCATCGAAATCGGTTGGTGTGATATTGAGTTATTCATTTATTTGTCGCGCACGGACTTAATGCAAATTTAAGACTTATATGGTTTTCTCATGGATACCATTAGCAGAACTGTACTAAATTGAAATGTGACCACACGGGAAGCGTCAGCTTTGTAATAAAAAAAGAATCATCAAAATCGATTCACTCAGTCAAAAGTTATGAGGCAACAAACATAAAAAAAAACATAGAGTCGAATTGAGAACCTCCTTCTTTTTTGAAGTCGGCTAAAAAAATCTATAACCAGGTATACAATCCGACCGAGACTATAATAATATAAATTAACGTTTATTAATTTTAATTATATTTAGATAATTTCTAGTTACTCACCGATCAACCATAGCATTGTCTGTTTGTTGACGGGCCCAGTCAGAGAGTTGCCGATCACGTGAAACTCTATTAATTTTCTTTGTTCTTCGATTTTGGCCGCCTCGTCGCGCGGTGCTTGCGTTTGGAATAATGCCTGAGGAATTAATCGATCAATTGGTTTGTTTTGTATAATGTTAAATGATATCCGTATCAATATTTTCATTAGGCCTTTTTCTAGTGCGGTATAATCAGAAGATCCAGTTACAAGGACGAGACAGCGATCGTGCTTACAACTAAGACCGGTAGGCAGAGGTTTGGCTCTGCCCCTGGCATTGCTGAAGTCCATGGGCGACGGTAACCACTCACCATCAGGTGGGCCGTATGCTCGTCTGCCTACAAGGGCTCACTTTGCTTTGTTTATGGGTCGTGAAGAAGTACCCTAGACCGAGAGCTTGTTAGCCTATCTAGGATAATAAAATGTAGCGACGTCAAGGTGTTTTTAAACTTCAACTGTAATGCCAGCACAAGCCGTGAACGAGTTAACGGTTTGAAAAATCACACAGGGTTGCCATTCCAATATTTAAATATTACTAAATATAAAGTTTACTGTTAGTATTCTACCCTGTATGGTAGAGTTTACGGCAATAATTTAGTTTTTTTAAGGGATTTTATGACCTGGTAACTAAGACCTTTACGTAGTCTTATTTTAATTTTAATGTAAACTTTTTGAAAAATGATATTATGAAATGAAATGAAGTTGATTAATATGAAACATGGCATGAAATGAAATGGAGAGTAGATGATATGGGATGAAATATAATCTCAATAAAATCGTGGTCATTTACTGAGACTTTTCAGAGGACTTTTTGGAGGATCCTGAGAAGTTACGTTCAGCGGCTTTGTCTCATTTTCCCACATTTGTGCACTTTCACAGATACCAAACAGTTAATAAACCACCGTTATTACACATTTAAACCCGAAGAAACACTAAATAGACAAAATAAAACAAATCACACAACTTCACTCCTCGCGTTCCCGCCAAAAAGTCGGCAATAATTTAGTCGTGTGTAATAAATAGATAGAAAGCAGTAGAAAGAGTTAGAGGAGGCCATTGCCGAAAGGCACTCCGAGACAAGAGACATTTTGTATTAGAAGTGTCGATTTTACTTTTGTATTTTGTTTTCCTAGATTATATAGTAATTTTTTTTAGTCTACTTAAAATTATTAAATTAAAATGTAAAATTTTCGGGAAATAAAGGCATTATTATTATTACTAGTGGTCCCCTGGTAGTCGAAATTCGACTATAATTAATTGAAATTAAAAGTTTGTACACTATCATGATTATATTGTCAAATACTATTACTTCTATAATCACAGGTTTCGTCAAGACCAGGGGTGGGCAAAAGCCGGCCCGCGGGCCGGATCCGGCCCTTTTGCTAATTTTATCCGGCCCGTTGAAAAATTCCGCACATAAATTTTTTTAAACTCTTTTATGAGATTTTGTTGACATCAGCATTAAAAAAGCATATGCGGTAAAAAAGCATATGCGGTATAGTCCTCCGGCCCGGGAGACATTTTGAAAATTTCATTTTGGCCCGCGCTTTAAAGTATTTGCCCACCCCTGGTCAAGACTATATTTTAGACAAATAGGTACTAATAAAGACAAACAATATTTAATCAATGCTCAATTTGACCAAATACATTTTTTCTCCTACCTACGCCGAAAGTATGTCCCGTTGTACAGGGAAGAAAGTGTAACTTTTTCTCTCTGGGTACAAGTGCGCTTGCGCGTTAGTGTCTACGTCTGCTTTCACGCACCTAAAATTCTCCGCCATTGTTGTGCTCGGGTAATTTGCAATATTGTGTTTAGTGTAAAAGTGAAATAAACAAAAGGCAATAAAATTTAATAGTGAAGTATTAAGCAAAGATGAGTTCATCAGACAGTTCTTATTCAATTAGTAGTAGTTTATTTAAAAATAAAAAAACTGTTAAATTTATTTTATTTTTTTATATTTTATTTTTATTATTTTTTATAGTTGGATGCGAAGGCGGAGGACCGCATTCTGTGGAAGGCATTGGGGAAGGCCTATGTGCAGCAAAGGCTGATGATGATGATGATGATATAAAAAAATATTAACATTCTGCACTCCTTCTCTATATTCTCTATAAGTGTGGTAAATTTCATAATTCTTCGTCCGCGCAAAAGTGGTACAAAGTTTTTGCTTCACGCATTAATATATAGATAATAAGCAAATAAAGCTGTTCGTTGGTCGGGAGCGAGCGCGCACGTACGTCCGGTCCGCACATGTAGTTGGGGTCGGAGATAGTCGCCACGATGTCGGCCACCGTGCGCTGGCTGACGTCATCGCTGCCCTCGGAGCACACGCGGCGCCGCTTGCCGCCCGTCCCGCTCACACTCACGCCCGCACGCTTCACGCCCTCCTGCTTTATCGAACCTGCAACATAGCGTTTGTTTAGCCCCTAGTAATCTGTTTACTGGTGGTAGGACCTCTTGTGAGTCCACGCGGGTGGTACTACCGCTCTGCTTATTTCTGCCGTGAAGCAGTAATGCGTTTCGGTTTGAAGGGTGGGGCAGCCGTTGTAACTATGCTTGAGACCTTAGAACTTATATCTCAAGGTGGGTGGCGCATTTACGCTGTAGATGTCTATGGGCTCCAGTAACCACTTAACACCGGGTGGGCTGTGAGCTCGTCCACGCATCTAAGCAATAAAAATAAATAAAACTTAATTACCGTAGGTTGGGGGTGTGGCGGGTAGCCATCACAGAACACAAGATATTTGACAGATGCTGAATCTCGTTTACGATATTTTCAAGATAAGCTCGCATATAGACAAGTTCCGAACAACAACTTTCGGACCGTCGGTCTACCGAGAAATGTCACCCGCTCGGTGGAAGATCTTCCTCCTGTCGTATTTTCCAAAGGGGAATAGGAACTAGATGTAGAATAGGGACAAATCTTGGTTGTCACAATGCCTTTGTGAGATTTAAATTTGTTGAATAGAAAATGAGTTTTATTTAGTGTTTAAAAAATATTAAATAGTTTAATTTAGTCATCAGACTTTTGTAACTGATTAAAGGTACTGAAGAATAATTACCTACCTAACAACTAAACAGTGCCACCCCTATTGAAAAACTCTATTGTCCCCATACGCGACCCGACCCCAAAAGCCAAGTTGAATCAGGTCAAGCTAGTTTTTTTAAGTTTTGTGTATATTTTTCAATGAACTATGTCTAATATGTTATCGTATGTGAAAATTTAAGCCTCTGGAACCATTTTAATCTCAATTTTATTGGTATTACCCTAAGAAAAACCGCTGGAAATTTCTGTTGGAATTGAAAAGCGTCCCGATTCCCCCAATCTACTGTACCTTACTCTGGGACCCAGTATTAATTCGCACACAGAATCAATATCTTGTACTCTGAATATATTCTGATCGTCAAAATAATGAGTGATTCTACGTCATCTGTAGTATCTTGAGGTTCAATTTTAAAGACATATTGATTGAAGACATTATGATTACTCGAAGTGTTAATTATTAAAGACGTTAAAAATTTGTATCAAAAAGGAAATTATTTACCAGATGACAGTGTAACCGTCGTGAACCCATCCTTACTGTCTCCGGATGCCGTAACTCGTTCAAATTCACCGACACGACGACTTGCTGAAAATTATAATAACATGTATATTTGGGCACCAGCGGCAAACTATTTTTATTTTTAAATTATATTTTGTAATCCTCTTTTTAGTATAATGTATATTAAATATGTTTTTAATAAATATAGTATAAATAATAATACATAATAGGTCTAGATAAAATACATCTTGACTTCATATGAAGCAAGGAGTGTGCATTTCGATCCCATATAATTTTAATTACCTATAGCGAAAGTTCGTGTTTTTATGTAAAAAAAATCCTCACTTAAAAGTTCATTAAAGTAATGGAAAAAAAAGGAGGAACTTTTCAATTTAATGCTAGACAGAGGGTACACTATAGTGAATGGACGTCATGTTAGATTCGCCATTAGCTCTTTCATTAGCCAAAGTTTATTCACTTATATGTGGCCGAGCTATTTCATTATTAAAAATTACAAAATGCACTAAGTTAAGTCGTCGCGGCGTCTATAGTGTCTTAAAAAAAAGGCTTAGTTAAGAAAAGATTCGTGTGTCATTCAAAAATGGTCCCAAAGCAACTGACTCACAAGTTTTATTATCCAGCATCGCTTGCAAATGATTAGGCGGTACTTGCTTGTAGTCCGGGTCCCAGATCGGAGAGTTTGGACTAAATATTTCTTCTTCCAATAGAGCCAGGAACCGAGGGAAGTGGGTCAGAACCAGTACCTGAAAATAACAATCAAATAGTCGTAAATTTTATAGGGTGTTGCAAGGTCAGCTGAGGTTACCTTAAGATGGGCGATATCCACATAAAGGAGGTTATGAGCTTCATTTAAACTTTTAAATATTACAAGCACTAATACGACAACATTCTATTAGTTCTTAGAAAATCGATCTAGTAAAGAAAACCGAATCTACCATTAACATGGGCAGTATTTTGACTAACTGTCCTATAATAAATAATGATAAAATAATTTATTGTCTTTCTTTCTTTAGTTATTACAGGTAAACAAATAAAAGACAAAAGGAGGGGGGCTCGGCTGATGCTATTCAAAGTGGATGCATTGAACTGCGCTGATTTTCAGTTACCCATTAGGTGTATTGCTAATTTTAAGGTTTTTTTTTGTTTGAGAGATTACTGGCGTCCCGGAGGCCTTTCCAGTTTTACCAGGGCAGGTGTGCGAGCAAGGACTCAGCCAGGAGGGGTGACATTTGCCAACAGTTACCCGAGCGCCTCCAAGGGAGCCTGAACAACTCAAGAGTAGCTGCTTCGCGAATGAATCTATTACCGGATCGGAATCGCAACCCGCTGAGAAGATCCGGTGAGAAACTCAATGGGCTGATGCTTAGGTTAGATTGCACGTTGAACTCTTTGCCGAGTTCGACGAGTACGGTTACCGGGGGACTCTACTCCTAGTATTAGAGCGGAAGGCGTCTAATGCAACGGCTATTGGATCTGATGAATCCGTAAGGACGTGTGGATTTTAAGGTTAACGCCCGTGACATACGTGGTTTAAAAAAAAACCCTAACACTATTTCTTTAAAACTGGCAACACTAAGATATATTTTTTTTATTATCCTTCCAAACGAGGAATGTATACAAGATTAAGGTACCTACCCTTTTCTCTGGTGGCATTCTGTCCCTCTCCAAGTGGCACTTGTCCATGAGCTGGCGGCACACGGACTTGAACACGGCGCGCAGCAGCGTCCGTCCGAACACCAGCGACGTGTCGTAGTGGGGCAGCGAGTCGCAGAACGCGGGCACGTGGCAGAACACGAGCCATCTGGAACCAACGAGCGGGAGCTTTGTCGCTGGTAGCTTTATAGGATATCCCAGCTGCTCGCGGACTCAACCCGAGAAAGTTTCCTATAACTGGCCTTGGCAAGAGCAATGATTCGTTGAATCTACCAGCGGATCGGAATCGCGAGCCACTGAGATGATCCGGCAAGAAACTCGGTGAGTTCTGTCTATGGTTCTACGGGACTAGTTCGCAGGAAGGATGATGACCGGTGACCGGTTCATGAAGAGCTTAAAAGCACTGAACTAAAACAACTATTTGTAGTTGTTATAAAAGAAAGCGGATTAGTTCTAAATGAATGACTTTACTGAAATCAAATATATCTAGTACCAACTCAAGTTCATAAAATGGTTTGTACCGAATTTCAAATTGAAACATTCAATCGAAATTAATGAAAATTGTATTAAAAGATTGCATTGAAATCATCCGTGTACGTTTCTTAATGAATAGTGATGCTAAAATAAAATCATAAGGAGAAGTAAAATATGAAAACTCTTTCTGGATTCGTCATTTAGTTTTGATGGAAATTAATGAACTTCAAATCGCAAGTGTTCACGATTGTGCGAAAACTGACTCCGTTAATGTGATTGACTGAATATACTAGGGAGAAGATCCGGTGAACTCAATGGTCTATGAACTCTATGGGTTAGGTTGGACGTCGAACTCTTGATCCTATTCGACGAGAAGAGACTGACGCTTGGAGAGCGTAAAAGCACTGATCGGGTGGTGGCAACGGACGAACGACACGTTACGTATAGTTATGCTCTACACAGTTAGATTGCTTAGATTACTTTCTTAAAGAATCAAAGCTACAAAAAATTTAGATAATCCTACACTGATGTTTGGTCAATTCTATAGGGAATGCAAGTTTTTTTTTTAAAGCTTAGATGGGTGGACGAGCTCACAGACTACCTGGTTGTTAAGTGGTTACTGGAGCCCATAGACATATACGACGTAAACGCGCCACCCACCTTGAGATATAAGTTCTAAAGTCTCAAATATAGTTACAACGGCTGCCCCATCCTTCAAACCGAAACGCATTACTGCTTCACGGCTGAAAAAGGCGGGTGGTGGTACGCGCGGACTCACAAGAGGTCCTACCACCAGTAAACCTACATGATCCATCTATTAGTACCATTATTCTCGTTTCCAGATAATATTATGATGAATTTGGGATAGTTAACATTCGCAATGTCCATGTGTTGTCCATAAACTCGGCAAGCCTAAGTGGCTATATTAGATGAGCTATCCTGGTTGAACGCATAAAAACTGATAGACCTAATTAAAAGATCATAGTTACCTCGTATAATTAATCTGGTAGGCTGATATATCTTCAGGGTTTGAAACTTGCTGAAATAAATATTCACTAATTTATTTTCGTATTATTATTAACAAAAGATACAGATACATAATAACTAAAATAGAAGTTAGGATTGGGAGAGGCAGTAGGTTGGAGGTAGCTTCAAGATAAAGCGTGGGACATCGCGAGCGTTTGACGGTGGGTTGTGTGAGAAGCTAATGCTGAGCTTGGAAGGGCCCCCAATTCACCCTGCGTACGAGCGTCGGGATTCACTCCGACTAAGACACCACAGGTTTTTTACACCGATTGGCAGAACAGCTTCCCGGAGCCGGAATTCATTAGTGACACCCAGGTTCATGCCTAATGATCGGCGGGTGACGGCGGTGACCGTTTCACTATACCTCCTCCATATCCTCGTCCACAGATCTCGTACCTCAGGGGTGAGGCATCACCACAGTTTACCCCCAACATGGAAGAGGAAAGGAGAAGAATAGAACTGGCTCTCCAACCCACACGGCGGAATACAACTAGGCTATTTGGCGGTGTACTTTAGTTGGAGAGTAGTCGCCAGCCAGTGGGATAGTCCTACCACAGATGTTTTCGGTATCCGTTTAGCACTACCCAGAGCTCACTTTTAAGATATCGTGAGTTAAGCCCACGAAAGCGGGAAACATCAATCTCCATACATTCCTCAGGACACAGCAGAAAGTCTCAATTTTCAATCTTAACACCTCATGACACGCCCGGGTAATTATCTAACTTAATTATATAAAAACATTGTTTCATAATGACTTATGGAACTCACCAGCTTTCTGACGCTGGGCGTTTCAAAATTCCAATGATTGAAACAGTGAAGGAACATCTTGGCCAAATCATACATTGTTTGCCATTCCCTTTGTGGTAATGAATTGAACTTGTAGAGAACGAAGTTTGTTATTGCTTTGGCTATGGAAGGCCTTTCGAATGGAGGTTGTCCCAGTGGTCCCTCGATCCGAGGCTGGGAACGCGTTAAGATGCATTTACGAAGTATCTGAAAAATATTTGAATCTATATATATATATATATAAAAATCAATTGCTGTTCGTTAGTCTCGCTAAAATTCAAGAACAGCTGGACCGATTTGGCTAATTTTGGTCTTGAATTATTTGTGGAAGTCCAGCAAAGGTTTAAAAGGTAGATAAATATGAAAATGCACGGAATTAAATAAAAATAATAATTTTGTTTTCCCTTTGATGTGTCCCCCGTCGGACGGATTCCTTTTGTTTGTTTCAAGTTTATTTTGATACAAAAGTTTAGGTCTTTTATTTATCGATTGAGACGCTACGAAGTCTGCCGGATCAGCTAGTCTTATAATAAAACATCACACAGCTTTTATTTAATTACTGCGCAATTTATATATAACGCGTAGCGGTTGAAATTGTTTCGCAGACCGCGGGTCCGAATGTTATTGTTCAGAACTTATTCAGGCAATCTTGAAATTGCCTTTCGAAATTCAGATACTTGTCCAATATCTTCTGTTCTGTATAGTGGCGGTCCACGGTCCAATGATTTTTTTATCATTCTTTATAGGTGCTCCTGTAAGTTGAGCGTTTAAGTAACCAATACGTCTTGAAGGTTCTTGGGCTTTTTGGACAAGATAAAATCAATTTCTTTTTTATATGTTCCATTTGAAGAAATCTGAGTCAGAGATTTTTCATATAGAAACCATTGAGAATGGTTAATTGATTATCTAAAGCAAAAGTGCCTGTGTGCCTCCATCTTTTACCATGTCCATATTTTCCCATTGCATTATCTTATTTATTAACGTTACACCTTCCTATTTCTGTAAGAAGTACTAAGTCTAAGATTGTTATTCTTTCTAATGTGACTATTATTGCTTCAATTGTGTGCAAGTTTCTTTTTAATTTGAAATCCTACACAATAGTCCTGGTCCCGCCTTTGTAATGTTTTTATTTATTTATTTTTGTCTGCCTATGCCATTAGCCTCGAGAGGTTATCTTGAGGACTTTAGTATAGGACCTAAATCTTCTATTCCTTCACCAGAAGATATGCTTCTCAATTCACTGATTCCTTTTCCAACCTACATTATGTCTGCCACGGCTATTTTCGAGTTCATGAAGTTTCTCAATAGTTTATAATAATTATATCCGAAATAAATTTGTTAATCTTAGAAGGTCATGGTGTTTTTCCTCTGTGCGGACCACTCTGCTTGGGGTAGCGAATTTAAAATAACAAACCTTAAATAAATAGTAGTAAACTTGTTTAGTGTTGTGGTCATCTTCTCTTTGCATCGACATAAATATGTTCTCTACGTCTACAACAGCACCGAGCAGCCTATTCACTTCTGCTACAGGCAAACCTTGTAGCTGACTTACATGTTTCTCTGGAAGCAGATACACAAAATATATCTTTGAAAATCCTATCCTACCTAACCTCCTAACCTACCATATTCCATTCATTAATAATGATAACACATTCTGTAAATGAATGAAACATGAATTTTCTTGAGTTAGAAATTTTTATGCTTACTTTAGTAAATAGTATTTCGTAGTTGTTTTCGATATGTTAGAGTAGTTCTTTACAACTCATAAGACATATTGTAAATCAGAACAGCACTTATTAAATAAATTGATAATAATTAAACGACATGCTATTGAATAAAACTCTTAAATCATTTTACTACAAATTGTTTTTAAGACAATTTTCTGCCTAACACTTTAAAAATTAAAGGCATTTTAAACTAGATTCCTCATTCATACCTAATACATGGTTGCAATTTCTACACACGTCATTGAAGCTGGCAAGGGGCTGGTTATCAGCCCGAGGAGTCTTGCCCGCGTGCTGTGTTACTGGAGTCTTCCATCCATTGCAGTTACAATCTGGTGTCTACCACAAATATAAAAACTGATAGCTAATAGTCAAATTTGAATAAGTCCATAAATGTATAATGTTCAATTGGTTTATGGTACTATTATATTATTATTACATTTAAATAGAAAATATTTGAATTATAAGATATTTTTAAATGTTTCTTTTCATGTTATTATTTCACAAAGGCAGAATAATTAGGATTTGTGAAAGGACATGAAATCTAGAAAGTAGATACTTATATCGTTATACAGTGCACGTAATATTATGTTTTTCAATATCATAATTGCTATTTGCTCTTAAGTTATGGGTATAATGTTAAGTTGGGATTGAGAGGAGTTAATCAGTTTTATAAAACAATGTTTTCATGGTGTTTAATTCCTTCTCGCTTAAAGATCATAATAGAACATGTAATGACATTCAGTGCATTAGTAACATTTTCATTTACAATACCTGACAGGCTGAATATATAGCTAGTTTGAGTAGTTTTTTATTATGGGGCCAGTTGAAAACTTGTTGTTTTCTTTGTTGTATCCTTTGTAGGTTAGACTGCCGGGAAGCCTGTCCTTCACTGCCTGCAGGAGTCCCGGCATTGCTTGATGATGCATCGTCTGCACTTAAGCTTGATGTAGCTAGAGAAAAGTTTGTAAATGAACGCTGAGTTATTGCGGTAGTTTAGCATCAAATTATAATAAATTTATTTAGAATTAAAGGAGAAGTTTGTTTTTCTTGGTGTTGACGTCTCCGGTGGCTATAAAAAGCACACTGTGCAAGTTACTGTTCACCTTCAAATATCAGATCAGTCACACTACATTCCAAAATGACTATTTCACCTAGTAAAGCCTTCATAATTGCTTTGACAGATACAAACAAGAATGCAGTGGTAATTTTTACTGATAGCACTTTTTATTCTATTACTTGAACAAATATTCGCCAGCACCGTAATGATTAATAAACCTCTAATGTTGTTGTTGTTGTAAGCCTCTAATGATTATTAAACCTCTGATGTTCATTTTCAAACTTATTGCTTACACAGTTTCATATCCATGTTTGGGAATAGCAGCCTTTGGTCATTTTGTTTCTATATAATATTTTTATATATAATGACAAGAATGATTATGAGGAATGGATTTATCTGTCCCGCCATGTACATGGTGAATATTTGCTAATTCTTCTATGTAGTAATTGCAAGTTGGGCTATCACTTAAAATATGCTTTTCAATACATGGCCTATTAGTCGCCATACTTATATAAAGCTACACCACACCTGGTTTATAGCGGTGAATATTGTAATGAGGGTAGTCTGAGATAAGAAAGTTTATGAGAATACAGATAGACCGTGGTTATGTAGTAGTAGCTCGAGAAAGTACGGTTTCCAGCCTTTAAAAATAGCTGATCAGACTATCACTATATAAGATTCTTTTATATGTGTATGTAATATAGAAATTCAAGTACTAATGGCTTACAACTATCTATAGAATAGCGGGAGAAATTACCACATACAAAACACAGTTGAATACACACATACATTTAAATTTACAGTTACAATTAACTTGGTTCACGTGGTGTTTTCATTTTCAACTACATATATTAAAAAAGCCGATAAGATGTTAAGGTCATTATTCTGGTGATTTCTATACAAAATTATTAATTATACTTAGTTGAAGAAGCGTGATTTTGTTTATTTACCTTCATGTGTATGATTTTGTGAGGAGTCTGGCTCTGTGCTTGTCATTGCTATGTCAGCTATTTCGTCAGTCGCTTGAGACATAATATACAATCACAAACAAATTTTTGTCGCAGTAATTCTTTCCGTAAATAAGAAGTCAACGCTCTCATTTAAGTATTCACTGCATTTTGGAAATAGTTACACTGATAACATGAATTAAGGCGCAAACAACAGCAGTCAAACTTTTTATAGAATTAGACAGTTGACGTTAACACAGATTTCGGATTCAAATGACAAGTATTGTCTCCTTCATAGATAATACACTTGTCTCCTTTTTGCTATAATCTATGGAGGGTAGAACGCGAGGAGTGAAGTTGTGTGATTTGTTTTATTTTGTCTATTTAGTGTTTCTTCGGGTTTAAATGTGTAATAATGGTGGTTTATTAACCGTTTAATATCTGTGAAAGTGCACAAATGTGGGAAAATGAAACAAAGCCGCTGGACGTAACTTCTCGGGATCCTCCAAAAAGTCCACTGAAAAAATCTTAGTAAATGACCACCATTTTACTGAGATTAGATTTCATCTCATCTCATTTCATTTAATTTCATCCCAGTTGATTAATGTATCAAATTAATCATCTTCATTTCATTTCACTCCAGAATATCATTTTTCATAAAATTAAGAATATAAAGTAAAATAAGACATGACTTAAAGGTCTCAGTTACCAGGTCATAAAATCTCTTAAAAAAAAAAGGAGAACCGTCTCTGGTAGTTTTCCAATTACAGCACAAGAGCGCATTATGCGGCACAATGCTTAACTAAGCTTCAGCATAATTCGGCATTGTGCGTCACTGAGTCGCATTATGCTAATGACAGCATAATGCAACTCGAATATGCGAATATTATATATAAAACTTGATTATATTCAATTACTTATGATCAATTTATATTTAGTTGGAAAATGATCTGCGACAAAATTTTCCTGTAAGCTATGAGACAATTAGAAAAAACATCTATTTCATCACTTAAAATTAGTTCAGCGCAATCGGACAACCCCGAATGAACATATGTTGTTCAAAGCAGGCATGTAATTACCAATTATTCTAACAAATTTTGTTACTAAGGAATAAGTGATTAATGGTGGTATGGCTCATCATACGAGACTACTTGTCGAACCGTTCGTTCCGATATCGGGTCGAGAGAATGCACTCTCGCCCCCGTCACGTTACAGCCTACAGCCGGAGTCCCGCAAGGCTCCGCCCTCTCCCCGTTACTGTTTAATTTGTATATCAATGATATACTCCGGTCTCCGAAGACCCATCTGGCGCTCTTCGCCGATGACACGACTATCTACTACTCGTGTGGGAAGAAGTCGTTAGTGCATCGACGACTCCAGACCGCAGCCACCACCATGGGACAGTGGTTCCGGAAGTGGCGCATCTACATCAACCCCATGAAAAGCACAGCGGTGCTCTTCAAAAGGGGTCGCTCTCCGAATAACACCTTGAGCATTCCACTCCCGACTAGGCGCGTTAACACCTCCGCCTCCGCCATTCGCCCAATTATCATGTACGGCCAACCCATACCGTGGGCCCCGAAAGCCAAATACTTAGGTGTCACCCTCGACAGAGGGATGACATTCCGCCCCCACATAAAGACGGTACGCGACCGTGCCGACTTCATACTTAGACGCCTCTACCCGACAATATGCAGGCGAAGTAAATTGTCCCTTAGAAATAAGGTGACACTCTACAAAACTTGCATACGCCCCGTCATTACCTATGCAAGTGTAGTGTTCGCTCACGCGGCCCGCACCAACTTAAAATCATTCTAGGTTATTCAATCCCGTTTTTGCAGGATAGCCGTCGGAGCTCCGTGGTTCGTCAGGAACGTCGACCTCCACGACGATCTGGACTTAGAGCCCATCAGTTATCTGCAGTCGGCGTCGATGCGCCACTTCGATAAAGCGGCACCACACGAGAACCCTCTCATCGTGGCCGCCGGTAACTACATTCCCGATCCTGCGGAAAGAGTGGAAAGCAGGCGACGTCACCCCAAACACGTCATTTTGGATCCTCCCGATCCACTAACGGTGCTTTTAGGTACCTCAAGCACCGGTCATCGTTCATCGTTCTTTCTCGTAAATTAACCCTCAGACACAGCCCACCGAGTTTCTCGCTGGATCTTTTCAGTGGGTCGCGTTTCCGATCCGGTGGTAGATTCTGCGAAGCACGGCTCTTGCTAGGGTTCGTTTTAGCAACGTCGTCAGGTTTGCGCCCCGTGAGCTCAACTACTAGTTAAGGTTACGCTGATATAGCCGCTCAAGGCTCTCAACTTAGGTAGACAGGTAGGTTTATGTCGCAAAACATTAATTCGTTCAAGTTTAAATGGCGGGATTTCTCCTAAATTATTTTGTGTCAGACGGCTCGTTTGCCTTGTTTTGAATGTATTTGAAGTCAGTGCGAAGGTGGAGGTCAGTTTGATGCAGTGAAAAAAATCTCTTCGACTCCCTGTAGCGTAATGAAATTTATAAATCTCGTTTGAAGTTAAAGCTCTTTTAGAAACCATAATCATTATCACAAAACTTTCACATAATCATTGTCACAAAACTTTCACACTACATTTCACATTGCATATTTTACATTTGTTCGTGGTCGGATATCATATGAGTCTGTACGGGTACGAACTACAATCTTGTTATTTCTAAAGTGAAACAGTAATACGTTTCATTTGAAATGTAGGGCAGCCGTTCTAAAAATTGAAAATTAGAACTAATGTCCCAAGGCTGATAGCAGCATTTGCATTGTTGATCTCTATAGGCTCCGGTAACCACATAAACCAGGTAAACCGTGAGCTCGCCCAACAATATAAGCGATTGAAAAAAAATATAACATTTAATTTTTTGTTTAATTAATTTTTTTCTTGCGTAGGGGAAAAAATGAACTGTCGTTTTTATTAATATTGATAACACTAAAATTCATCAATAGTTAGGCACTGAACGAAAAAGAAAACAGATTTTAAAAAACAGCAGAGAATGGTCCCAAATTGTTTTTTTTTTATTGCTTACATGAGTGGACAAGCTCACAGCCCATCTGGTGCTAAGTGGTTACTGGAGCCCATAGACATTTACAACGCAAATACGCCACCCACCTTGAGATATAAGTTCTAAGGTCTCAGTATAGAGTGGTGGTACCTACCCGTGCGGACTCACATGAGGTCCTAAAACCACCAAATTATTTGTTTACCAATATTAATAATTAAATATTTACCAAATACCGAAAAGAATTATCACTCTAACTGAAGCGTCAGCAGCGAGAAACAGAGGAATGTTTTTGTAAACAATCATCAAAGTGCCATAATGAAAATATCCATTAGTGATATTGTGGGAGAGGGTGCGTTTCACGGGACCGATCGCAGTTTGTGAACCCGCGTCACGTGTCAAACTTTCGCTATCTGGTCAGTTCACCCCTCATCAATCCTTCTAATCTATCTATCGGCTATGTCGCACCTACCCCGAAAATATCATAAAATATGGTCTCTTATTAGCCAACCAAGGCGAAGTTAAGGGATATTGTTTTAAAAGTTTATGAAATTACGAAAAAATAAAACTTTGATTCCCCTGGATCACCGTGTACTTAATCCAAAAAGAAAACGGCATCGAGTTTTTTGTTTTAAGAATATTATAAAACTACAATCATAGATGTTCAAATCGTTATTGGAGCGTAATTGGAGATGAAGCATGCCTAGATTTAACATTCCGGAAAGAAAGCAACGGTCTTCCTTTTGTGCGTGCGTACTGTTACAAGAGGTCTCTACGAACTTCATAATTCTAAGCCTTGATCCTATTCTGCCTGTTCAACAATCCCTTCTGATATTTAATAACGCGTATCAGAATGCTAATCTCTCTAATGCTGGTTTCATATCCCAAATCTGATGGTTATGTCCAATTCAAAATATAATCCTTTTGTTTTACTATATTGTATTTAGTGTGGTAAAATAGGTCTTAATTAAAAGTCTCCACCTCAGAACCTCATAACAGAAAGATAAGTTACGGTTCCAATTGAAGAATAAAATAGTTTTCTTTGACAAATACTGTTTTCTTTGCTTATGTGTTTGGTCAAGGAAAAACTACTAAGACATCTTGTTGTATCAAGATCAATGAAAAGACTACAGCAGGCACCGGAAACAAGTCAAAGTCATTTTTAGCTTCTACAACGGTTGAGATCGTAACAAATCATAAATACAGCCAAAACCACGTCTATATTTTTCGCCATTTAAAAAAAAACAAGATTTGACATTTACGGAGCTAGAACTAGAAGGTGACAGCTTCTTACAATTTTGTTGCACAGATGAGTGTCAGGACTTAGTAGTATTGTGGTCTGACTGTCAATTAGCTCCCGAAAACCGTGCCTCCAGACTAATCATACGCCTCCGGGCCACCAGTAATCTCTTAAACATAAAAAAAATCATACTTAGATTTTGAATATAAACGGATGAAAAAGCTTTTTAATTGAAATGATGAATTCGTTTAAAGCAGAAAATATCTTACTTTACATATAAATTGTTTATTATTTATGAGTTACGCAAAACTTTCCGTATAGGTACTCTCTCCGATGTATGAGATGTATCCCTACATTTCGTTTGTCACGGAACAGTTTCTCGTATTATTCATTAAAAAAAAAGGTTAATTTTGCAACAATTTTTTTTTGGGAAATAATAAATGCGGTTTTTTGAATATGTTGATTTTTTTTTATTGCTTAGATGGGTGGACGAGCTCACAGCTCACCTGGTGTTAAGTGGTTACTGGAGCCCATAGACATCTACAACGTAAATGCGCCATCCACCTTGAGATATAAGTTCTAAGGTCTCAGTATAGTTACAACAGCTACCCCACCCTTCAAACCGAAACGCATTACTGCTTCACGGCAGAAAATAGGCGGGGTGGTGGTACCTACCCGTGCGGACTCACAAGAGGTCCTACCACCAGTGAAAGATCCTTAGGCCTTATCCTTTAGGCCGAGATGACTTCATTGTACAGGAGAATTTGATTTGGGAGGATTTTTGATTTGGGGCTATTTGAATTGGGAGTATGTGGGATCTGGAAGTTGAACCTCACCAAAAACTCCTGCGCTCACAGCCGACGCCCGACTCCGAATCCGGCTGGAACCCAGTCGGGGCCACTCAGACGACGGGACAGGGTTGACGCAGAGCATATTGCATCCGTTCCCGTCTGACG